CACTCCAAATTTAACCTGTTTTTCATAACAGGAAGGTTCTAATACCACCCACGTGAAAAGAAAACCTGCATTTCTCACCTCTTTTATCTGGCTGACAAGTCAATCCATTGTTGCTCTTCCTGCTTCGACAGCAAAGTGAGTTACTGTTATATCAAGCCCTGATTCTACTCTCTCTCTCTCTTTATCTCTCTCTCTACCTTCACAGTCCACACATACATTTTATTTAATGCTTTACTGTGATCTCTTTCTGGCTGTTACAGAAATTCTACCGTTTGTATTACATATTATGTGATTTGCAGCGATCCAATTTGTTGCACCAGAAACGTGTTCATCTGCATCATAACAATTAACAATTACAACTATTTTGACTTCTCAACGCTCGACGTTGAATACTTGCTCGCAGGTTGTCAGTGAGATCTAATGAATTGAGGGACATATTTCTGTTGTTCATACATGTTTCATATAAGGTGTCGTCGCTCCCTACGATTAACAATATATTGTGGTAGATTGTGGTAGATTGCCAGGATGCGTGTGCACCTTAACTATTGTGACATGGGAGTGGAAGATGTCGTCAAATCAAACTTTACTTAGGTCATTGACTCCTCCTCTTGTCTTTTTGTTCTATATTTTCTACTTTAATCCTCGTGAACCCTCGTTGTGTTTTACGACCTATCCCGTGTTATTTTATTAGACACAATGCTCGGTCCCTTTTACCTTACAAGACATATTTATGGCGGCCTAATTTGCGACGACAGAAATTTTGGCGGTCCGAAAATATGGCGAAATTGAACAAAAAGCGTCAAATTTCGGACGTCACAGAAAATAAGGGTATTTTTCATCATTTTTTGTGACAGTAAGCAGTAAGGAAATTTCTGAAATTCGGTAAAATCATGTTCAAACTTAGTCTGTATTAAGACTTTCATGTTAGCACATACATGTATTTTAATGCAAATTTGGGGGGGGGGGGGGGGGGGGGGGGGGGGGGGGGCAACCATATTAAAGTATATTAAAGTATATCCCCGGGTCAAAATCGGAAAAAATCCTACATTTTAATATACTTTAATATACCTACAATTAGAAGATTTATATTCTTCGTTAAGATTTACATGATGAACTATATTTTTCACTCAGATCCGCAAGATAAGCCTGTTTTAGGACTAGTACATGAATTTCCATCCAGATTGGTAAAAAATTGGCTGAGCTATGAGCTTTAAAAAATATGCCCATATTTGGGCATACGCTTTTGCCCAAATTCGCTTTTGACAAAATTCGATAAAATTTCAATATTTTTTAATGAGACTAACTCTATGTGAAAGATATAACTCAGTGTTTGTTGAATATAGTGGATACTAAGTAAAAAGACCTCCATGAACAAAATTGGGAAAATTGCACATAATATCTCGGTTCGGAATACTAGCCAAAATGACTTCATTAAAATTGAAATAACTCCATCAGTTTTCAATATTTTTTCAAGAACTTTTTGGAATAGATTAAGAATTGCATTTCAAGCTTATTTTGGGCAACAATTTTTGAAGTAGGCCTCCAAGGAGATAGGGATATATTAAAGTATATTGTAGGTATATCAAAGTATATCCCCGGGTCAAAATCGGGAAAAATCCTACATTTTAATATACTTTAATATGGTTGCCCCCCCCCCCCCCTCCCAAATTTAAACTGTATTGCTTGACATTCAATTCGTCATTGGTGTGGTGATAATTTGTCCCAAGATGCCAGAATTTATTTATTTATTTTACTTGATATTACTTTTTAGAAACAAAATAAAGCAGTGAAGGCACAGTCATTGAAATAAGCTAAAAGATAATGCGACGGATTCTAGTACGACGACCGAAATTTTGGCGGTCCGAAAATATGGCGAAATTTTCGGAAAACCGCCACATTTCGTACGTTATAAATATGTCTTGTAAGGTATAGGACAAGTCAACATGTTTTGATTAAAATTAAGATAGAGCAAGTAACTTTTATTTACAGCATCTTATATTTAATATCATATATTCGGACACGAAGGGAAACATACAATGTTAGGCTTGAATCTTTTGTAAATATATATTCAAACAATGATAGTAGTCTAATTCGGAGACATTGCCAGTTTTAAGCTCAGATAAACTTCTCAGAAAGTGTGAGTCAAGCTGATTCAAACAGTATTCAACGAACTTGTTATCTCTTGTCCCAAACTTTTGTGCGAACTTGAAAAGATCTACAAAGTTATCCACCGTTATGATCTCACCGAACATTAGCTGAGCATAGTTCTGCAACCACTTCACTAGATAGCGTGTAGCAAAGTTGTAAGTTTCAATTCCTTAATGTTCCCACTTGATTTCACCGCAATATAAACTCCTAACGATCTTTCTCAGGGTGTTCGTCAAAATCAGGTGACAATTTGATATTGGTAGTAGTGTTTCGATCGGTTTCTGGCACCCAGACCTCCTCCACCTCTAAAATGTCGCTGGTCAAGGCAAGAATCAATCCATGGCAATATATAATTGCGCATTTTCAGATTGCACTGACTTATTATTAGTGGTAATCTTATTGGTTCAGTTGGATAACCGCCCTTCCATTGGTCCAGGGGTAACGGATCCGAATCCCAGTGCAGGGGTAAGATCTAAAGGTCAGCTGTCACTCACTAAACCACGCTGTGAGTGGTAGAGGGCTCTCATTAGACCTTCGAAAATAGCACGAGTAGATAGCAGAGTTGTGTTTCATTTAAATCTGTACCAAAAGGACTATGCCGTTATGTTTTGGAAAAGGAGACAGCACCTCGACCTCTAGAAATTAGCACGCAAGGGTTGCTGAGCATTCATTCCTTCACTGAGCACGCAAGGGTTGCTGAGCATTCATTCCTTCACTGAGCATGGAAGGATGTAGGAGTTTTAGCACGCAAGGGTTGCTGAGCATTCATTCCTTCACTGAGCATGGAAGGATGTAGGAGTTTTAGCACGCAAGGGTTGCTGAGCATTCATTCCTTCACTGAGCATGGAAGGATGTAGGAGTTTTAGCACGCAAGGGTTGCTGAGCATTCATTCCTTCACTGAGCATGGAAGGATGTAGGAGTTTTAGCACGCAAGGGTTGCTGAGCATTCATTCCTTCACTGAGCATGGAAGGATGTAGGAGGGTCGCTGAGCATTCATTCCTTCACTGAGCATGGTAGGGTGTAGGAGATAAGCACGCAAGGGTTGCTGAACATTCATTCCTTCACTGAGCATGGTAGGATGTAGGAGTTTTAACCTTCACTAAGGGTTGCTGAGTATTCATTCCTTCACTGAGCATGGTAGGATGTAGGAGACATTAGCACGCAAGGGTTGCTGAGCATTCATTCCTTCACTGAGCATGGAAGGATGTAGGAGTTTTAACCTTCACTATATCAAGTTAATTGATCAATATTTATTGGCATTTACCTGCAACCTGCTGAACAGCTTTGTTCCAGTCTCACGAACTAATCGCTGTAAAATATCGTGACTGGATACAAAAAAAGAGATTTATTCCCGAGCCGCGTGTCACTATTTGACACATGCTATTGTCACTCCAAGAACCGACACATCCAACCAGCTAATCAGCCATCAGTCACGTGACCACAGGACAATCCCACATGATGTTGCCTGGGTGACGGCTGCCCAATAGGAGGTCGAGGTTTTGTGCACGTGCATCTGAAAACAGCGTATCTAGATGTGTTTTAGTGTGAACCCGCACGCGCCGTTTCTCCCGCCGCTTGACATGCTGCCTGACCGATCCCATAAGTTTTATTCTAAAATTTGAACCTCTACCCTTACCCAGTTGAGCTCGAACCACACAGTTGTATTCCGCTGACCGATCTCATAAGTTTTATTCTAAAATTTGAACCTCTACCCTTACCCAGTTGAGCTCGAACCACACAGTTGTATTCCGCTGACCGATCTCATAAGTTTTATTCTAAAATGTGAACCTCTACCCTTACCCAGTTGAGCTGGAACCACAGAGTTGTATTCCGCTGACGTTTAACTACTGTTTTAGACCGGATAAGTAGGTCTAGTCAGGTTAAAGACTCCCTCCGTTGCTAAGTGAGGGAGGCGTTGCTAAGTGAGGGAGCCGTGCTCACGTGTGATGATCACAGCTTTTATGATGTCCAAGCTCATGGTTTTCTGGTTAAACCATGCCTGGACTCCTAACTGAAATAATGCTTGGTTCTTGTTAAAGTGGATTTTCCGTTTTCCTGCAGCACCCGCCTCTAACTAGCTCTAATCTATTGGAGATTAGGCTGGTGCTAGGGCCTTACTATTTAAGTACTTCGTACTCCTTGTTACACTTAGTTAAAAGCTTCATTTTTATTATTGAGATATTTTCAGCCTGAACACCAGTGAATTTGTTTTAGGGCGGTCCTGTTTATTTTTGTACTTGAGTTTCTACTTTCTTCCACTTGTTTAAACGATTAAATATCCATCCACCATTTGGTGTAAACTACTCTGGCATCGCATCCTGTGACGTATCTGGTTCGAGCAGAGAGATGCATTTTTGTGGGCCTGGTAGTGTGGCACACTAAAGTGGTACAGTAACTGAAGTTAGGCAGCACTATAGTTTAGGTGTGCTCTTCTCGAAAAAGGCTCTACTGACAATGGATACATTATGAACCATTAACTGTATCTTACCAGTTATTAAAGTACCTTACAGTTGTGCTATTGCTAAAAGTTGCCAATAAATACAATCTTGCTTTAAACTTGAAAGTATAATTATTCCTTACGTTAACATTAAATAGTCTTATATTTTCTTCAATCTGTTTTTTAAGGAATCGTACTTATTTTTGGAACATAGACCGCTGGACGCCCGAAGTAATTTTATCTCGATCTTCAATTATAAATCCATTTTAAAACTGACAATCTGCCCACCTTATCGCACATTTTCACCCGGTGTAATGCATGAATGATGCGACCGTACCTGTTGAAACCTATGCTGTTCAATACCTCGCGGTTACTGCATTATAATTCATATGTTAAATTCATTATCTTTCTAACGGAATGTTCCAGCAGTTGATGTTCACATAACCCGGGTGATGGCCGCCACCAGTTCGATAATACAGTTCCCTCTGCCTGCCCTCTATCCCGACCAGTTTACCAAAAATAACATTCCTCACTACCCGCCTACAGACACCTTCCAGACCAGCCAGGTTTGTTGTTTGATTTGCTTTAGATCGCTATGTTTTGTTGGGCATTTTAGCAGGGACGTAGCCAGGATTTTTCTTTGAGGGGGGCTGTCGGCGAGCGTAGCGAGCCGACGCGTCCAATCAAGCTGCGCAGCGAGCGAAGCGAGCAAGCTGTGGCAGGGGTCTGGGGGCGCAGCCCCCAGCGGGGTCCAGGGGCGGAGCCCCTTGGCGGGGGCTAGGGGGGCGCAGCCCCCCCGGAAATTTTTTGCGAAACAGGGTGTTTTAGACGACATTTGGCATTAAAGAAATTTGTAGGACAGCAATAAACTGGGATTGAAAAGAATCAAGTACTCACGTAAATTTGGTAACTTCACAACAGCAATCTGCATTCTTCAATCAGAATTTACGACTTACTCAGGCCTCATCGTCTTAAGATTTTTACATTTCCTACGGTCTAGGGGACACTATTGACTATAATTATAGAAGTCTTCTAGAATGTTTGCTTGGATTTAATGACATATATTTACTAATCCACAGTTCAAATCTTTGACTGACTGCAGTCATAAACACAGCCCAGTTACCAGGCGACCATGGGGACTAGGGGGCTTATCTTTTTTCTGGGGCTCGATTTTTTCCGGGGGGGGGGGGGGGCTGCCGCCCCCCTAGCCCCCCCTGGCTACGTGCCTGCATTTTAGTATTTCATCGACGAATAGTTAACGAAATAACCAGGTTAAGAGTCATGTTTATCGCTGTTTTCTCATGTTGTACTATAATCAGGAGTTGTGCAGCGAATACACAGATTATTGGTTATCAACCTGGTATCTTATCTCCCCTAAATAGGGTCTGATAAAATGAAGAATTGTATCTAAAATTTAAAATTTACAGTTACCGGCCATTAATATTTCCTTTGATACGTTCAATACTATAAACATAATGACATAATTACATAATTACAGGTACCGTTCCAATTTAAAGAGCCCCCTCCTCCCGGAGGAATGGGACACCACCCTTACCAGTACCAGTTTGGGGGCATGCCGGGGTACCCGGTTGAGCAGCAAGCAATGTCACATTGGAACTTTGGGGCTGCAATCCAGGTTAGGAATCAGTCTATCTATTAGTTTAGTATTTTTCTGACATTATTCTAAAGTACCGTGAAACATTGTGAATATACTGAGAGGTATACAAGTTGTTGACTTCATGCTTCTGAAGCTGATGGGTAATGTTTGTACCTGGGGTGGACACTTGGTACAGGGATTTTAAAACTCCGTTCGAGTGAAATATTAGACTAGCGCTGTGACAGAATGTCACAAAATAGGTGCGACCATCGGAATTTTACTTTGACTGCGAAAATGTTTAAATTTTAGCCCTTTTATGAAATTAAATTTACAAAGGGCCATGAATATGATGGCATGATATAATGTGCAGTCGGCTGTCTATAATTTTAACATGAATGTAGCTAAATATACATAGACATAAGTCTAAAGTCTTTGAACGTTAAAGCTGAAGCCGTTACTGTAATTGTTTTCACTCCTTCCAGGGTTTCCTTCCATTAATCAACTAACTTAAAACTTGATTAGTCGTAAAAATGTTGATGACTGAAGTGCTCAGCATCCAGTCCGTGGTCATCAGAGTATGAATAATATTAATACTTTGCCTAAACTTGCTGTTTAGCTACTAAAAAGCAAGTTTAGGCATGTTAACCATCAAGATTCAAGCTGTATGTGATTCCTTTTCATAATATTTATTTACTCGCTGTTTTCAATTTGTCATGCAACCCGATAATGGGAACCGAGATCATAGTTATTAGCCAGTAGAATGGCAAATCGGTGACATAATGATAAACATGAACATATGACGGTGCTTTCATGAAACTGTTGCAACAGGTGGCAGGAATCACTTAGGAGCTTGCAGCTTACTATAATCGAATGATATTGACAAATGAAACAAGGTGTGCTTCTGTAGAAAGTTCATATGATGGGGCACTACGAACTTCCAGTCAGGTTCATGCTTGTCGCCCTCATTACATAGTAAGATAGTAAGCTGGCAAATGCATCACATTATGAAATCTGCATCTACAAACCTACACGAACTAACTAACATAACCTCAACAGAGCTAATACTCTATATATTGTATATCACAAACACACCTACGATATTTCCGTCCATTGTCCAGCACAGAAGGCCAAGGTGGAACATGTGCCCGGTCCCATAGCACATATAACAGTTTCTGCATTTAAAAAACAAGATTGTAACCATTACTCGCTGCAATAAACACTGTTCCAATTGAGGATAATACCGTTTTTCTCAGGGCATAGTACCAGAACCAGAAAGGTTTGGTGATCTGTGCGAGAAGGGACTGGTCCCCATAATAACAACAGCAACCCACGAGGTGACAACTAACCAACCAACCCCTGCAGATAACCTGCCTCTTATAAACCCTGCTAATATTAAGGTTCGTCTACCTGTAACTCTCCCATATTAATACATACGTATACTCGTAATAGAAGCCACTGGCATCTGGCAATACTGGATTTCCTGGGCTACAAGTCTTCACTCTAGATCCATTCTTCTAAGCTATGTCTATCCCAGTATTTCAGCATTTGATCCAGAATGTTTCCTTTAATTTCTAACCCTAAATCCTACACAGAGTGAACCGCTGAAGATCCTGCCACCACTAAGCTGTGAGACAACCTACGTCACGACCTCCCAGCCTCTGATGTGTCACAGCACTGTTGGGCCCTGTACCAACACCCTGCCTACATCACTGGACTACAACTATACTCCCTGCTCTTCTGATCAGGTGCAGTTAATTAATATTACTAATTACTACTAATTACTACTAATTACTACTAATTACTACTAATTACTACTAATTACTACTAATTACTACTAATTACTACTAATTACTACTAATTACTACTAATTACTACTAATTACTACTAATTACTACTAATTACTACTAATTACTACTAATTACTACTAATTACTACTAATTACTACTAATTACTACTAATTACTACTAATTACTACTAATTACTACTAATTACTACTAATTACTACTAATTACTACTAATTACTACTAACCACTGCTAATTACTACTAACCACTGCTAATTACTGCTAATTACTACTAATCACTACTAATTACTGGTAATCACTACTAACCACTACTAATTACTACTAATCACTACTAACCACTACTAATTACTACTAATTACTACTAATTACTACTAATCACTACTAATTACTGCTAATCACTACTAATTACTGCTAATCACTACTAATTACTGCTAATTACTACTAGCTCTATACAATTAGTGTCCCACCACCTCCCCGCTAACTAGTAACTACTCACATACTTACCCAAAGCTGCAATTAGATAAACTTTAAGTGCTGAATATTTTGACAACCATAACCTCAGATGGACGGCTACAACCAGGGAAATATTGGATGGTCTGCTGAGTTGGATCCCTTCTACTCGTCTGACATTCGTTCAACACTATCAGGTCTGACTCGTGGGGATTACTGTATAGTTATACTTCTTGAATCGTTTTAGTAGTGAACCAATTGTACATCGCACTTTAAAGTAGACTTTTTTAATTATCGTAGATGAGAATTTTTTCATCCGTAAAAGTACCTGCTTCTGTTTAAAACACACTATTTTCAGGTCACCAATCGAACAGTAATAGTGCCGCTCTCCCGAGCCCATGGGACTTCTACAGACCCTCCAATACATGATGATCTTCCGTTTCAGGCTCACAACCTCTAACAACTCAGAATATCTTGTCACTCAGATATCGGCGTAATGTATCAGCTTCTCTGCGGTGATGACTGTAATAATGAAATTTGGAAATCAATCAAGAGTGCTAATTCAGAAGGATTGCTAATTCAGAAAGTGAAGGTTAGCGATCACGTACTGTGTTTTCGTGATCTGGGTAAAGGTTTATTAATTAATTAATTATTATTAATTAATTAATTAATGAATTAATTAATTATTATTGATTAATTATTATTAATAGATTCCTTCTTCGATTAAATGTTATCCGTTGAATGTGTAGCGGAATGGAACAATCCAATGTGAAGGATTAACAGAATTCAATTCATGTTGATGTAGCTAACTAGCAGAAGAATTTGAAATAAAAATAGTGAACGGAAATCATTTCTACGGATCTCTGTGATAAGTACTAGTGATTTAATAATCTCTACGGAATGTTGGTGAATATATATTTGCCAATCCTGTTATTCAGCACATACAATCGAATAAGCACCATTTCCTTGTTTCCTAACAGTAATACAAACTACAATTACAAACTACAATAGAACAATTCATCGAAAGTGGCATAAGATAATTTCTTCAAAAATCAACAAGTCATGCCCATTTCATATTTTACTTTTAGAACCGAGCTTTGCTGTGTTTGTTTTTGCTTTACCTACGACTGATCTGTAGGTTAATTAAGAAACCTGGATGACATTCAATAGATATTTAGTGATTATATTTGATTATATTAACAAATTGTGTACGCTGTACAGTACTTTTAAATGATATTGATATAGTTTTTCAAAAGAGCCTTGTTTACAATTTTGTGCCTCAAGACATTATGAAATTTCTATAGATTTAATAGATTTCTATAGATTTCTATAGATTTCTATAGATTTCTATAGATTTAATATAGAAATATTTACAAGGAGATGAATGGACTGAAAATAAATGTCTCTAGCACTATTCAAAAAATAAATTCACGGTCCACCTTTTCAAGTGTGTTCAATAATCATGACTATATCTGCCATGACACGTGACCACAACTCTAGGTGAACAACACAGGAGTTGTGGTCACGTGACACAGGGATTCGCTCATTTTAAACGGCGATTAGTAATACTCATCACATAATTGCTCAATGTGGCGAGGAAATTGACAGCGCCTTACCCCGATCTGAGTAACAATTTCAGGAGAAGTGTTGAACTAATCATTTGTTTAAAATAGATGTTATAACCTGGTCCATTCCATCAGTATCACTTGTAAAGATTGTGCTATTGTTGTTAGTTGAACTGTTTTTTAATTTCAGGAGAAGTGTTGAACTAATCATTTGTTTAAAATAGATAACCTGGTCCATTCCATCAGTCTCACTTGTAAAGATTGTGCTATTGTTGTTAGTTGAACTGTTTTTTAATTTCAGGAGAAGTGTTGAACTAATCATTTGTTTAAAATAGATAACCTGGTCCATTCCATCAGTCTCACTTGTAAAGATTGTGCTATTGTTGTTAGTTGAACTGTTTTTTAATTTCAGGAGAAGTGTTGAACTAATCATTTGTTTAAAATAGATGTTATAACCTGGTCCATTCCATCAGTCTCACTTGTAAAGATTGTGCTATTGTTGTTAGTTGAACTGTTTTTTAATTTCAGGAGAAGTGTTGAACTAATCATTTGTTTAAAATAGATAACCTGGTCCATTCCATCAGTCTCACTTGTAAAGATTGTGCTATTGTTGTTAGTTGAACTGTTTTTTAATTTCAGGAGAAGTGTTGAACTAATCATTTGTTTAAAATAGATAACCTGGTCCATTCCATCAGTCTCACTTGTAAAGATTGTGCTATTGTTGTTAGTTGAACTGTTTTTTAATTTCAGGAGAAGTGTTGAACTAATCATTTGTTTAAAATAGATGTTATAACCTGGTCCATTCCATCAGTCTCACTTGTAAAGATTGTGCTATTGTTGTTAGTTGAACTGTTTTTTAATTTCAGGAGAAGTGTTGAACTAATCATTTGTTTAAAATAGATGTTATAACCTGGTCCATTCCATCAGTCTCACTTGTAAAGATTGTGCTCACTTGTTCTATTGTTATATATATATATGTGCTATTGTTGTTAGTTGAACTGTTTTTTGTGCTAATGTTGTTAGTTGAACTGTTTGTTGTGGTATTGTTGTTAGTTGAACTGTTTGTTGTGCTATTGTTGTTAGTTGAACTGTTTGTTGTGGTATTATTGTTAGTTGAACTGTTTGTTGTGCTATTGTTGTTAGTTGAACTGTTAGTTGTGCTATTGTTGTTAGTTCAACTGTTAGTTGTGCTATTGTTGTTAGTTGAACTGTTAGTTGTGCTATTGTTGCTAGTTGAACTGTTTGTTGTGGTATTGTTGTTAGTTGAACTGTTTGTTGTGCTATTGTTGTTAGTTGAACTGTTAGTTGTGCTATTGTTGTTAGTTGAACTGTTTGTTGTGCTATTGTTGTTAGTTGAACTGTTTGTTGTGCTATTGTTGTTAGTTCAACTGTTTGTTGTGGTATTGTTGTTAGTTGAACTGTTTGTTGTGGTATTGTTGTTAGTTGAACTGTTAGTTGTGCTATTGTTGTTAGTTGAACTGTTTGTTGTGGTATTGTTGTTAGTTGAACTGTTTGTTGTGCTATTGTTGTTAGTTGAACTGTTTGTTGTGCTATTGTTGTTAGTTGAACTGTTTGTTGTGGTATTGTTGTTAGTTGAACTGTTTGTTGTGGTATTGTTGTTAGTTGAACTGTTTGTTGTGGTATTGTTGTTAGTTGAACTGTTTGTTGTGGTATTGTTGTTAGTTGAACTGTTTGTTGTGCTATTGTTGTTAGTTGAACTGTTTGTTGTGCTATTGTTGTTAGTTGAACTGTTTGTTGTGCTATTGTTGTTAGTTGAACTGTTTGTTGTGCTATTATTGTTAGTTGAACTGTTTGTTGTGCTATTGTTGTTAGTTGAACTGTTAGTTGTGCTATTGTTGTTAGTTGAACTGTTTGTTGTGCTATTGTTGTTAGTTGAACTGTTAGTTGTTGTATTGTTGTTAGTTGAACTGTTTGTTGTGCTATTGTTGTTAGTTGAACTGTTTGTTGTGCTATTGTTGTTAGTTGAACTGTTAGTTGTGCTATTGTTGCTAGTTGAACTGTTTGTTGTGGTATTGTTGTTAGTTGAACTGTTTGTTGTGCTATTGTTGTTAGTTGAACTGTTAGTTGTGCTATTGTTGTTAGTTGAACTGTTTGTTGTGCTATTGTTGTTAGTTGAACTGTTTGTTGTGCTATTGTTGTTAGTTCAACTGTTTGTTGTGGTATTGTTGTTAGTTGAACTGTTTGTTGTGGTATTGTTGTTAGTTGAACTGTTAGTTGTGCTATTGTTGTTAGTTGAACTGTTTGTTGTGGTATTGTTGTTAGTTGAACTGTTTGTTGTGCTATTGTTGTTAGTTGAACTGTTTGTTGTGGTATTGTTGTTAGTTGAACTGTTTGTTGTGGTATTGTTGTTAGTTGAACTGTTTGTTGTGGTATTGTTGTTAGTTGAACTGTTTGTTGTGGTATTGTTGTTAGTTGAACTGTTTGTTGTGGTATTGTTGTTAGTTGAACTGTTTGTTGTGCTATTGTTGTTAGTTGAACTGTTTGTTGTGCTATTGTTGTTAGTTGAACTGTTTGTTGTGCTATTGTTGTTAGTTGAACTGTTTGTTGTGCTATTATTGTTAGTTGAACTGTTTGTTGTGCTATTGTTGTTAGTTGAACTGTTAGTTGTGCTATTGTTGTTAGTTGAACTGTTTGTTGTGCTATTGTTGTTAGTTGAACTGTTAGTTGTTGTATTGTTGTTAGTTGAACTGTTTGTTGTGCTATTGTTGTTAGTTGAACTGTTTGTTGTGCTATTGTTGTTAGTTGAACTGTTTTTTAATTTGGGAAATTGGAAGATTGGGTTTTGCCTCAATGTGGCCTCTGCACGGTCTCTATAGAGGCTTATCGTGGCCAAAACTAATTTCCAAATTTCCATAAATTTTTGTAGTAAGCCGAAGCGTGAGCCAAAATCATGATGACAGTGTGTTACCTTGAAACCGGCTCCAACAGTGTGTTACCTTGAAATCGGCTCCAACAGTGTGTTACCTTGAAACCGGCTCCAACAGTTGTGGGTCACTGTTGATTTTTAAAATTGTGGGGCAAATAGTATAATATATACTAAACAGTAATGATACAAAAGAGGGGGGGGGGGGGGGGGGGGTGTAACCCAAAAAAACCCAACTCCTACCCAAGAAAAGGTAATACTGGGATTGGGTTTTTTTGGGTTTTTTTGGGTTTTTAAACAAAATTTAAACAAAATTCTAGCCATTTCATTAATTGTATTGAATGTGAATTATTTCCCACTGAGTCTTACCTACGTGTTGTTCTCATGTCTTAACTTAATAGATAGTTTACATAGTATATAAGTGTGTTTATATTGATAGTATGTTATCATGATAGCAAACAGGATGTCTCGTTCATCGAGATATAATCCATGTGAATGTACAAAGTGGAAATGTGCCAAATGTGGCAAATGTGTTCTCCTGTCATGGAAGGAAGCTATGACGAAGGTCAAGGGCAAGTCAAAGCACATGACTTAAATTACTTGACTTAAGGCGGCTTCAGAGTCCGAGTCTCGATGATGTGTCTCCAAAGCTTTCTGTCCGCCATTTAAAGCTCCTTAATCTCCCCAGTGTTCTTGAGTCCAGTGTCACTTATTAGGTTATCGACGAAGGTGAGCGGTGGTCTACCCCTCCCTAGGTTCCCAAAGGAGAAGTTGGTGTGCTGCCAGGTCATCATGTCGCTGGATGTGCCCAGCCAACCTCATTCTTCTGGCCTGTATCTTCGAAATAACTCTTGGGAGTGATCCAAAGACCTCCTTGTTGGTGCGATGTCCTCTCCAGTCCACGTTTAGGGCCATCCGAAGCATTCTACTGTAACACCCGTCTATTCTTTTCTTCAAAGATTCTGTTATTTCCACGTTTTCGTTCCATACAGGAAGATTGACTCAACCGTAGCTTGAACAGACGGATCTTTAAATCTCTGCGCAAATTAGACCTCCATATAGCCTTCATTTTGTGGTAGGCAGCCCATGCCTTGGCCTTGCGTAACCTAAAGTCGTGCTCCGTTGTACTAAAATCCTCAACTTCTTCTAAGGCATGTCCGTCCTTAGAAATTATTGTGTGTGGCTCCTCTCCTACTAAATTAACTGTAAGATGCTTGGTTTTAGACAAAAGAGATTTCCTGCCTCCTCATCAGATGAGGCTTCTGTAGGACTGTAGCATGTGATGACAGTGAGCCTGGGCTTTCCATTAAGAGACATGGTGAGGATCCTTGCGCTGTAAGATTTTATAACTTTATAAGACTTATAGCCTCATATGCTGTCCTCGTCAAGATGATTCCTACTCTCCCATTAGAAGCGCCAGCTGCGTTTCTCCACGCAGATGAGATCCCTGGATGAATCCCTTTGTTCATCTTTTCTATTCTGGTATTCTCAGCAATCAGCATGCACTACCCGATGTTCGATTCTTGCAGGGCAAGGATGTGCAGCTTGCTTCGAGAAAATAGTTCTGCAAGTTCGATGCGTTTGTGCTGTTCTCTGGCTGTTCTTATGTTAAATGTGCTAACCTTAGCAGTCCTTTTACATGATACAATACAATTGATGTTCATATTTTTTTGATGTTTTCTCGTTTGACTTTCTGTAGAAATAGGTTGTCGTGTTGTGGAGACCGAGTCATCAGCTTCTGTAATAGCAGCGTAATTACCCCGGCAACCACTTCCACTAGAAAAATAAGGGGCTTTAACCCTTAAGCTGTTGATAAACTTCATCTTGACTTTTCAGTTGGCTCACAATCCTGTGCAGTCCCCTGCACATTGGCAGTGGATTGTGTTCTTAACTCTTGCACCACTAAAAGGTTAAGGGCATCCGCTTGAACAATAGCCATCTTTAACTCTCACCATAATATCTTGGGTATCTTGAGCATGTAATTGCACGAACATAATATGCTATACAAGACAAATGTGACACTTCCTTTTTCTACCCAACAGCATCAGTTGTAATCCTTACCCAATCGTCACCTGCTCCAATGTGGGACTTTCCGATTTTATCCCAAAGCATAAGGAAGTTAGAGTGAGAACAGAGCTACACTTTAGCGGGGACTAACCCTTCCCCTGACTACCTCGTTACCCGGTACCCCGGGCATAGGGAGCCGTATCCTGACTACCAGAGTGTGGTCCAGTCTAGCTGGGTCATAGTAGACTAGGTTGAACAGGGTAACAGCCAACACCTCTTTAGCTACTGTGCAATCCACAGTAAAGATTTACGAGTCTCAAAGCCTCTTGTAGACCAAAAGTTAAGGAGTCAATAGATCAAATTATTGAACTTCCGGGGCTCAATGTCTCCCGTCGACCGTCCTGCCTTTAGCCTGGACCCCCTGTCCAGTATCCAGTCTTCACCACGCGGAGGTAGTGGCTTTCATCATGCTGTCCGATGAGTGTCTGGAAGAGGGCACCAGCAGGATACCCCTTTTCAAAGTTCTGGGAGCCTCACATCAGACCAGGGCTTCCACCCAGCTTCTATCCAGCGGTGACGCCTTGGGACACCTAAGCTTCACACAACCATTGAAAGACCACCTGCCTACTTGTAAAAATTTTGATGATGCGATTATTACAGTCGAGGGTCTGATGCTGTACATTCTCAGTGTAACAGCTGACAACAGTTATCAACACTTTATGCCCTGGCTGTTTACATCCGATGCCTGCGAGCAAACTTTATGCTTTCCTGCGCATAGGCCTCCATGCAGGCATTAGAACTAATCTGTGTTCTAAGGATATGTTGGTTGGCATGGGCAAATCAAACCGTTCCCTCGAGCTTGATGCACTCGGCAAAAGTTTGATCCCTGTAACAGTTGCCCACTCTCGCAACAAGCTTGTTATACCGCATCCGAAAGCAGAGAAACTATTTAGAGGTAAAGATACTTCAATCCCAAGATTGTTACAAGCTATGAAGAAGGGAGTCTCAAGGGGTAGAAGACTCCTTCAAGAACACTGTAACTTTAAAGGAGAGGCTTTCCAAACATCTTCTGACGGAGCAGAGAGTGACGAAGCGGAAACAGATGATGAAGAAGAGGAAGTGGAGGATATTGACTCATCAGAGGAATGGGCGAAAATAGTAACTGTGTATGGTGATTCTCTGCATCATGATACGGCTGTTGAGGTTTGCCTAAATGGAGGGCGAGATCGAATGCCATCCCAGTCAAGATTTTAGCGACTCCAGGGCCATAAACAAGCGAAGATATATGTGATCATGCAGCTGATGGTAACTGCAAGATTCTTTCAGTTGGAAATAGAGTATGGTTTCTCGTTAAGCGGATGATCAGGAAAACGGAAACAGAGATCGTGAAGGTGAGAAGAAAGGCTTTATTCCTCTCGTACCGGTTGCGGTCAGGGTTGGGGTCATCAGTGAGTTGCGTCCCTACTAACTCAATTTGCCATGGCCATCGAAGTGAGCATTACATATGGCTGATATCATATCGGGATGGCCAACTTCTTCTGAGCACATCAGTGAATAAAATACTGCTTTTGGGTGATATTTAAGCGATTATATCTATTGTGATGTTGTAGTGATGAACCACAACAGTGATGTTGTACTGATAATTGTTTTGCTAGGTGCCTACATGATTTTATTTCCTTCAAATGAAAAATTTGTAAAAAAACCAAAAAAACCCAACTCCTACCCTGAAAAAGGTAATACTGGGATTGGGTTTTTTTGGGTTTTTTTGGGTTACACCCCCCCCCCCCCCCCCCCAAAAGAAAGAAACGAAATCATGAAGCATTATGAGATTCTGGAGAGGTTCGCACTTCGCTGTTTATCAGACTCATGATAAGATAATGATTCCAGGAATAATATCCGGTAGTATAGACTAGGTAGGACAAGTAAAACTACTGTTTAGGAGGAAACGCGAGCTTTCAGTGTGCTAAACTGTCATCAGGCTAAAATTAAAATTATTGTTAGGATAAATCCTAAGGATTACTGTTAGGATAAATCCTAATATAAGGATTTTCTATATCCATTACGTAGGGTAAAACGTGTCCTTAAAATACCATATTGTATAAATACAAAATGCATGAGTAAGTGAGTTCCGGAGATATACCTATTAAAAGATCAGTGTGCTCGTGTTTCCCCATTACACCTCAACCAAAAGTTGTTGTGTCTGGTCTGTCGCCTTTGGTAACTAATTGTGTAACTATGGTAACTAATTGTGTAACTATGGTAACTAATTGTGTAACTATGGTAACTGCTCGTGTTTCCCCATTACACCTCAACCAAAAGTTGTTGTGTCTGGTCTGTCGCCTTTGGTAACTAATTGTGTAACTATGGTAACTAATTGTGTAACTATGGTAACTAATTGTGTAACTATGGTAACTGCTCGTGTTTCCCCATTACACCTCAACCAAAAGTTGTTGTGTCTGGTCTGTCGCCTTTGGTAACTAATTGTGTAACTATAGTAACTAATTGTGTAACTATGGTAACTAATTGTGTAACTATGGTAACTAATTGTGTAACTATGGTAACTGCTCGTGTTTCCCCATTACACCTCAACCAAAAGTTGTTGTGTCTGGTCTGTCGCCTTTGGTAACTAATTGTGTAACTATGGTAACTAATTGTGTAACTATGGTAACTGCTCGTGTTTCCCCATTACACCTCAACCAAAAGTTGTTGTGTCTGGTCTGTCGCCTTTGGTAACTAATTGTGTAACTATAGTAACTAATTGTGTAACTATGGTAACTAATTGTGTAACTATGGTAACTAATTGTGTAACTATGGTAACTGCTCGTGTTTCCCCATTACACCTCAACCAAAAGTTGTTGTGTCTGGTCTGTCGCCTTTGGTAACTAATTGTGTAACTATGGTAACTAATTGTGTAACTATGGTAACTGCTCGTGTTTCCCCATTACACCTCAACCAAAAGTTGTTGTGTCTGGTCTGATATCAGGCATTCGAGATGTATAAATTCATTATGTCTCGACGATCGCGCTTTATGTTGGTACGCAAACTTACTAACTACCCTAACTACCAGCTGGTTAAGCTGGATGTGATCGGGGTTAAGCAAGTAGGATCATGGGAACTTCAGTACAGATTGATGTACATTGTACATATCTGGTGGAATAATATTAGGTCTGTATATTCAAACTTCAGCTCCATTGTCATCAGGTCTAGTGCTCTTAACCTAGCCAATTACTCGATGTCATTAATGTAGTGATGATCATGTTCACCAAGGATCCACTTAATTGCTCTGTGCTGCTCTTGCAACTTTGTTAATTAAGACAACACTTGTTGGGCGTTGCCTCCAGACAACACTGCAATTTTCAAAACGTCTTCTAGTTAGTGATAGATAGAATTCCCTCTTTTGTTTACGATTCCTTAATAAACCGTAGAGATCTTTTCATTCAACCTAGACGTGAACTAGCTTCCGTACAGAGGGTGAGTATGTTCTCCTCCAACTTTAGGTCTGTTCTAACAAATACCTCACGATCATTTTCACTCTGGACGAAATCTAGTGCCAATCCAGGGTGTAGTCAAAAAGCTGAAAGGGGAAAACACTAAAAACTCCCTTTCGCTCATTTTGCTAGATCTAGAGAGCACAATTAGCTGTATAGTAGCATTAATTGCGGTAAAACTTCATTTTGTTTCTTACCGCCCAACATTGCTGTGCATGTAATACATAAGGTTTATTATTTACGTTTTTCATGTCTAAGATTACTGATTAGGCTTATAACAGAGAGCATGACGCATATACAACAACAACAACAAGTACAACACACACACAACAACAATGGCGACCCTAGCAAGCTAGGATCGAGGGGCCGATCTCTTTTGCGGTGCGGCCACGGTCCTTTCGGTACAGATTTCGCAACCCCAGGCATATCATGCACTCGTGTTATTTTCGCAGCTTTAATGAAAGCCACTACCATTCACACCATGGTTTGGTGAGTGACGGCTGCCCATTAATTTTGAAATCTTGGCCCAACTGGGATTCGAACTCGCAACGTCAGGGCCAGTAGACAAGATTACTGATTAGGCTTATGACTGAGAGCATGACGCATATACAGCGAGTATTTAATGATAATTAAAGCTCGATACGGAGCATAAATGATGTATCCATATATAAAAGTATAAATCAAAATGTCCATCCATAATGGTACAAAAGATGAGTATCCAAATTCTTTGAGATTACAACTCTAAAATCGTATGGTAACTGGTTCCAAACAAAGATCTACAGTAACTAAAACTTTGCCATTACGTTTTACGATAATTGAACGTTTATGACGAAACAGTCTATCAGTATATCGGGAGGTCAGATGCAGGTTGGCTCTTCTTAAGCATATATGTCATTAAGTTCTGCTTGTTCTATGATAATTCCCATATTTGATGATTATCCATGAATGTTTTAGCTACTAAAAATTATCTACAACTCAGCGGTAAAGTTAAATACATGGTCAAAATATAAAATTGAAGGTTTTGGTATACTATGAACTTATGTATGATGTACATACTTTTACGTTTCGTCCCTCAATTCTTTTATTTTGTACAAGCAATTAAATTAGCGAATTTTTCTTTTAACTGGAACCCTAATTCCTGGAAGAATTCTTTTAATTTTTGTTAATGTTTGCATAACATGATATAAGCATAAAAAATTGACACTTGCAATTGTAAATTGTTTTGCTATAGTCGAATTAAGCCGTTGGCTGGCTTAAATATTTTTGCTCATATTACTGTTGATTTCGTTATCGTTCTACTTTTAATGATCATTGATCATGCAATTATTAGTTATAGCTTGACTATTAAATAGCCATACTCCATAGGCATAATCATGACAAGAATTATAGCCAATAGTTTCGAACGGTCCTAATTGAAATGCTACGGTTTAAGAATAAGAAATGGGATGCTAATATTAATAATCATTCTACACCTACCTATTGAACCTATTGATAGGTTTAGAAGTAGGCATCTTCACGGCCATCACGCAATCCGCGGACCACCTCCTTGACTGCACCAGTCTATTATTGAGTTAGAGTTACTTTGATCCCATTCCCAACCCATTCCCAACCCAAACAAAATTCGTAACTCCCTATTTACAAGTATAATTAGCGTTTAAAGAGATGATTAAAATTTCATTTTATTCAAAGTTTACACAATTGTTACCAAATACACACAAATTGTCCTGGTAATAGCTTAGATCTGACGTAAGCTGCTTAGTTATACTGTTATATATTACCATAGCTTCTGAAGAACAAAGGTCGGTGAAGTTCACAAAGGAACTTTGGCTTTTCTATTTTCTAAATACAACTAAGGAAGTGCCGCATGTTATCGTTATCGCTACAAACTGTAAGGATGTTATGTTTATTGACTGTACTTTTTTAGTGCGACCTATTAAGCTTTGGATATGCTTTTTATTGACGTTTTATAAAGAAAATATTGTGCAGTCTGTGGAGAGCTCGTTTCTTTTCAGTAAAAAGATAAAACGAAGTTTGAACCAATATCCACCCAAACTCTCCAATTCAATTTATCACAAAGTGTTATTTTGTTACTTTAATAATCGTTGCTGCTTAATACTACAACCACCTTAGTTCACTCAGTGAGGATGGAGTTGGTGGATAACAAGACGGACTTGTTATTTACCGGATCAGGACCTGCTCCAACTGGTATCCCAGGATTGGACTATTTTATTGGAGCTCTTTTAGTCGTCTTCTCACTTGTCATCATCTCAGGTAATGACTATTTAAAACAATAAATATTACTAACATTTTAGTAGTTTAAATTCAAAGCAATATTTAAGTTGTGGTCACGATCAAGGACTTTGGTGTAATTTGTGGTCTGCCGAACTTTCACATATTGTGCTTGGTTAACTTCACTTACCTTGGGCACATCTTCAGAATCTTTTAAAATCAAGATAATTAATTCACGCGAGAACATTAACGTTAAATTTTAAATAGCATCGAAAGAAGAGTATTCACCGTGCCGTAGCCCGTCTGTCTATACACAAACAAATAGTCGACATGAGCCCGAGAAACTGGATCAGACCGGAGTGTCCCAAATTCTACACTCATTCTGGCTTAGTTCATTATCCATTCGGCACTATAGTTATAGAACATCCACACATCCTCCCAAACTTCACCATCTCCTCATTGCTAACTCCGGCATCCACCATTAAGGATGCCATACCCCAGGGGCAGGCAAAGCATTTTCATGCTATCCTCACTCCCCAGCCTCTCTGAATAATAAAAAATAAAACGATGGTCGACGCGATCCAATTTACCCTACTAATTTTCTTTGGTTAATAACAAAAACTTGGTCCTCAGCCATCAACGCATTGATGATCAATGATCATAGATAGAACGGACGAACGATCTCCACTGTAAACATCGTTATTCCTGCAATAATATAAATATCAGTAATATAAATACAGTGCATTATTAACGTAATTATTATATCATATATTATAACGAAATAAAAGTCGAGTTGTTTTGAGAAACTACCATAAGATTAAGACATGTTCGTCATCCCCCCAGTCTGTTTAGACTTCCCGCCTCGTCTTCAAAGCATAGGCTACCCATTACTACCCATATTCTCACTCTGGATGAAGACTTCAGTCCTTTCACCCTGCTGAAGCTTCTAATGAAGAAGCTTCCGATTGAAGATTCGGCGGATCGAGAAAGGCTAGAGCCGTACAGTAAAACAGCTTCGTGTCTTCAAGAAACAGCAAATGGACCGTAATTAATGTTTGATGCAATTGAAGGTTTAAAAATAATAAATAATTGGAGGTATGCCAAATTGCATGCTAAATTGTAATTAATATTATTTTCTTAAGACAACTCGTCATTTTAAAGTTTGTACGTTTCTTGGTACGAATTTGTAACTTGTAATGTATTCGGTTTCCGCTCACATCATATTAAACAAGAGTGGTCACTGACCACTCTGAGTGGTGTCCAATGGTCCAATCCTAATCATTGTTAAAATAATATTTTTATTTTTGTCTTATTTCATCAAAGTTTTCCACAGGAAATGCCCTAGTCATCCAAGTTATACGTTATCAGACAAGAAAGAGTGTTTGTGACTTTATATTCGCGCAGATAAGCTTCGTTCACATTTTTGGTGGTTTCTCTTCTTTTATTTCTGCCTTCATTCTTCTGTCGGGTATGTCATTTGTTTACAAGAGTTTAATTTTAATAAAATACTGTAATTAATTTCAATATGATACACCATGACCGAACTCCTGTAAATGACCCATACTTCACGTTTTCAGATTGTAAATGGTATCCGATTAACCCATTAAATGAACTGCTTTTCCCGAAGTTACCGTTAATTGTTAAGTCAGCACCCCATCTGAACTGATCACCCCGCAGGACGGACCATGTTTGACTACAGACAAGTAGATAACATAGTGTGTTGGCTAGGCGGGGCGGTGTGGCATCTTGTGGTCCTGTTAACTCCAATATTCCTCAGGACGGACCATGTTTGACTACAGACAAGTAGATAACATAGTGTGTTGGCTAGGTGGGGCGGTGTGGCATCTTGTGGTCCTGTTAACTCCAATGTTCCTCAGGACGGACCATGTTTGACTACAGACAAGTAGATAACATAGTGTGTTGGCTAGGTGGGGCGGTGTGGCATCTTGTGGTCCTGTTAACTCCAATGTTCCTCAGGACGGACCATGTTTGACTACAGACAAGTAGATAACATAGTGTGTTGGCTAGGTGGGGTGGTGTGGCATCTTGTTGTCTTGTTAACTCCAATGTTCCGCAGGACGGACCATGTTTGACTACAGACAAGTAGATAACATAGTGTGTTGGCTAGGTGGGGTGGTGTGGTATCTTGTGGTCCTGCTAACTCCAATGTTCCTCAGGACGGACCATGTTTGACTACAGACAAGTAGATAACATAGTGTGTTGGCTAGGTGGGGTGGTGTGGCATCTTGTGGTCCTGTTAACTCCAATGTTCCTCAGGACGGACCATGTTTGACTACAGACAAGTAGATAACATAGTGTGTTGGCTAGGTGGGGTGGTGTGGCATCTTGTGATCCTGTTAACTCCAATGTTCCTCAGGACGGACCATGTTTGACTACAGACAAGTAGATAACATAGTGTGTTGGCTAGGTGGGGTGGTGTGGCATCTTGTAGTCCTGTTAACTCCAATGTTCCTCAGGACGGACCATGTTTGACTACAGACAAGTAGATAACATAGTGTGTTGGCTAGGTGGGGTGGTGTGGCATCTTGTGGTCCTGTTAACTCCAATGTTCCTCAGGACGGACCATGTTTGACTACAGACAAGTAGATAACATAGTGTGTTGGCTAGGTGGGGTGGTGTGGCATCTTGTGGTCCTGTTAACTCCAATGTTCCACAGGACGGACCATGTTTGACTACAGACAAGTAGATAACATAGTGTGTTGGTTAGGTGGGGTGGTGTGGCATCTTGTGGTCTTGTTAACTCCAATGTTCCTCAGGACGGACCATGTTTGACTACAGACAAGTAGATAACATAGTGTGTTGGCTAGGTGGGGTGGTGTGGCATCTTGTGGTCCTGTTAACTCCAATGTTCCTCAGGACGGACCATGTTTGACTACAGACAAGTAGATAACATAGTGTGTTGGCTAGGTGGGGCGGTGTGGCATCTTGTGGTCCTGTTAACTCCAATGTTCCTCAGGACGGACCATGTTTGACTACAGACAAGTAGATAACATAGTGTGTTGGCTAGGTGGGGTGGTGTGGCATCTTGTGGTCCTGTTAACTCCAATGTTCCTCAGGACGGACCATGTTTGACTACAGACAAGTAGATAACATAGTGTGTTGGCTAGGTGGGGCGGTGTGGCATCTTGTGGTCCTGTTAACTCCAATGTTCCTCAGAACGGACCATGTTTGACTACAGACAAGTAGATAACATAGTGTGTTGGCTAGGTGGGGCGGTGTGGCATTTTGTGGTCTTGTTAACTCCAATGTTCCTCAGGACGGACCATGTTTGACTACAGACAAGTAGATAACATAGTGTGTTGGCTAGGTGGGGTGGTGTGACATCTTGTGGTCTTGTTAACTCCAATGTTCCTCAGGACGGACCATGTTTGACTACAGACAAGTAGATAACATAGTGTGTTGGCTAGGTGGGGTGGTGTGGCATCTTGTGGTCCTGTTAACTCCAATGTTCCTCAGGACGGACCATGTTTGACTACAGACAAGTAGATAACATAGTGTGTTGGCTAGGTGGGGTGGTGTGGCATCTTGTGGTCCTGCTAACTCCAATGTTCCTCAGGACGGACCATGTTCGACTACAGACAAGTAGATAACATAGTGTGTTGGCTAGGTGGGGCGGTGTGGCATCTTGTGGTCTTGTTAACTCCAATGTTCCTCAGGACGGACCATGTTTGACTACAGACAAGTAGATAACATAGTGTGTTGGCTAGGTGGGGTGGTGTGGCATCTTGTGGTCCTGTTAACTCCAATGTTCCTCAGGACGGACCATGTTTGACTACAGACAAGTAGATAACATAGTGTGTTGGCTAGGTGGGGTGGTGTGGCATCTTGTGGTCCTGTTAACTCCAATGTTCCTCAGGACGGACCATGTTTGACTACAGACAAGTAGATAACATAGTGTGTTGGCTAGGTGGGGTGGTGTGGTATCTTGTGGTCCTGTTAACTCCAATGTTCCTCAGGACAGACCATGTTTGACTACAGACAAGTAGATAACATAGTGTGTTGGCTAGGTGGGGTGGTGTGGTCTTGTTAACTCCAATGTTCCTCAGGACGGACCATTTTCGACTACAGACAAGTAGACAACATAGTGTGTTGGCTAGGTGGGGCGGTGTGGCATTTTCTGGTCTTGTTAACTCCAATGTTCCTCAGGACGGACCATGTTTGACTACAGACAAGTAGATAACATAGTGTGTTGGCTAGGTGGGGTGGTGTGGCATCTTGTGGTCCTGTTAACTCCAATGTTCCTCAGGACGGACCATGTTTGACTACAGACAAGTAGATAACATAGTGTGTTGGCTAGGTGGGGCGGTGTGGCATCTTGTGGTCCTGTTAACTCCAATGTTCCTCAGGACGGACCATGTTTGACTACAGACAAGTAGATAACATAGTGTGTTGGCTAGGTGGGGCGGTGTGGCATCTTGTGGTCCTGCTAACTCCAATGTTCCTCAGGACGGACCATGTTTGACTACAGACAAGTAGATAACATAGTGTGTTGGCTAGGTGGGGTGGTGTGGCATCCTGTGGTCCTGTTAACTCCAATGTTCCTCAGGACGGACCATGTTTGACTACAGACAAGTAGATAACATAGTGTGTTGGCTAGGCGGGGCGGTGTGGCATCTTGTAGTCTTGTTAACTCCAATGTTCCTCAGGACGGACCATGTTTGACTACAGACAAGTAGATAACATAGTGTGTTGGCTAGGTGGAGCGGTGTGGCATCTTGTGGTCTTGTTAACTCCAATGTTCCTCAGGACGGACCATGTTTGACTACAGACAAGTAGATAACATAGTGTGTTGGCTAGGTGGGGCGGTGTGGCATCTTGTGGTCCTGCTAACTCCAATGTTCCTCAGGACGGACCATGTTTGACTACAGACAAGTAGATAACATAGTGTGTTGGCTAGGTGGGGAGGTGTGGCATCTTGTAGTCTTGTTAACTCCAATGTTCCTCAGGACGGACCATGTTTGACTACAGACAAGTAGATAACATAGTGTGTTGGCTAGGTGGGGCGGTGTGGCATCTTGTGGTCCTGCTAACTCCAATGTTCCTCAGGACGGACCATGTTTGACTACAGACAAGTAGATAACATAGTGTGTTGGCTAGGTGGGGCGGTGTGGCATCTTGTGGTCCTGCTAACTCCAATGTTCCTCAGGACGGACCATGTTTGACTACAGACAAGTAGATAACATAGTGTGTTGGCTAGGTGGGGCGGTGTGGCATCTTGTGGTCCTGTTAACTCCAATGTTCCTCAGGACGGACCATGTTTGACTACAGACAAGTAGATAACATAGTGTGTTGGCTAGGTGGGGCGGTGTGGCACCTTGTAGTCTTGTTAACTCCAATGTTCCTCAGGACGGACCATGTTTGACTACAGACAAGTAGATAACATAGTGTGTTGGCTAGGTGGGGTGGTGTGGCATCTTGTAGTCTTGTTAACTCCAATGTTCCTCAGGACGGACCATGTTTGACTACAGACAAGTAGATAACATAGTGTGTTGGCTAGGTGGGGCGGTGTGGCATCTTGTAGTCTTGTTAACTCCAATGTTCCTCAGGACGGACCATGTTTGACTACAGACAAGTAGATAACATAGTGTGTTGGCTAGGTGGGGTGGTGTGGCATCTTGTGGTCCTGCTAACTCCAATGTTCCTCAGGACGGACCATGTTTGACTACAGACAAGTAGATAACATAGTGTGTTGGCTAGGTGGGGTGGTGTGGCATCTTGTGGTCCTGCTAACTCCAATGTTCCTCAGGACGGACCATGTTTGACTACAGACAAGTAGATAACATAGTGTGTTGGCTAGGTGGGGCGGTGTGGCATCTTGTGGTCCTGCTAACTCCAATGTTCCTCAGGACAGACCATGTTTGACTACAGACAAGTAGATAACATAGTGTGTTGGCTAGGTGGGGTGGTGTGGCATCTTGTGGTCCTGCTAACTCCAATGTTCCTCAGGACAGACCATGTTTGACTACAGACAAGTAGATAACATAGTGTGTTGGCTAGGTGGGGTGGTGTGGCATCTTGTGGTCCTGTTAACTCCAATGTTCCACAGGACGGACCATGTTTGACTACAGACAAGTAGATAACATAGTGTGTTGGCTAGGTGGGGCGGTGTGGCATCTTGTGGTCTTGTTAACTCCAATGTTCCTCAGGACGGACCATGTTTGACTACAGACAAGTAGATAACATAGTGTGTTGGCTAGGTGGGGTGGTGTGGCATCTTGTGGTCCTGTTAACTCCAATGTTCCTCAGGACGGACCATGTTTGACTACAGACAAGTAGATAACATAGTGTGTTGGCTAGGTGGGGTGGTGTGGCATCTTGTGGTCCTGCTAACTCCAATGTTCCTCAGGACGGACCATGTTTGACTACAGACAAGTAGATAACATAGTGTGTTGGCTAGGTGGGGTGGTGTGGCATCTTGTGGTCCTGCTAACTCCAATGTTCCTCAGGACGGACCATGTTTGACTACAGACAAGTAGATAACATAGTGTGTTGGCTAGGTGGGGCGGTGTGGTATCTTGTGGTCCTGTTAACTCCAATGTTCCTCAGGACGGACCATGTTTGACTACAGACAAGTAGATAACATAGTGTGTTGGCTAGGTGGGGCGGTGTGGCATCTTGTGGTCCTGCTAACTCCAATGTTCCTCAGGACGGACCATGTTTGACTACAGACAAGTAGATAACATAGTGTGTTGGCTAGGTGGGGTGGTGTGGCATCTTGTGGTCCTGCTAACTCCAATGTTCCTCAGGACGGACCATGTTTGACTACAGAGAAGTAGATAACATAGTGTGTTGGCTAGGTGGGGTGGTGTGACATCTTGTGGTCCTGTTAACTCCAATGTTCCTCAGGACGGACCATGTTTGACTACAGACAAGTAGATAACATAGTGTGTTGGCTAGGTGGGGTGGTGTGACATCTTGTGGTCTTGTTAACTCCAATGTTCCTCAGGACGGACCATGTTTGACTACAGATAAGTAGATAACATAGTGTGTTGGCTAGGTGGGGTGGTGTGACATCTTGTGGTCTTGTTAACTCCAATGTTCCTCAGGACGGACCATGTTTGACTACAGACAAGTAGATAACATAGTATGTTGGCTAGGTGGGGTGGTGTGGCATCTTGTGGTCCTGTTAACTCCCATGTTCCTCAGGACGGACCATGTTTGACTACAGACAAGTAGATAACATAGTATGTTGGCTAGGTGGGGCGGTGTGGCATCTTGTGGTCCTGTTAACTCCAATGTTCCTCAGGACGGACCATGTTTGACTACAGACAAGTAGATAACATAGTGTGTTGGCTAGGTGGGGCGGTGTGGCATCTTGTGGTCCTGTTAACTCCAATGTTCCTCAGGACGGACCATGTTTGACTACAGACAAGTAGATAACATAGTGTGTTGGCTAGGTGGGGTGGTGTGGCATCTTGTGGTCTTGTTAACTCCCATGTTCCTCAGGACGGACCATGTTCGACTACAGACAAGTAGATAACATAGTGTGTTGGCTAGGTGGGGCGGTGTGGCATCTTGTGGTCCTGTTAACTCCAATGTTCCACAGGACGGACCATGTTTGACTACAGACAAGTAGATAACATAGTGTGTTGGCTAGGTGGGGCGGTGTGGCATCTTGTGGTCCTGCTAACTCCAATGTTCCTCAGGACGGACCATGTTTGACTACAGACAAGTAGATAACATAGTGTGTTGGCTAGGTGGGGCGGTGTGGCATCTTGTGGTCTTGTTAACTCCAATGTTCCTCAGGACGGACCATGTTTGACTACAGACAAGTAGATAACATAGTGTGTTGGCTAGGTGGGGCGGTGTGGCATCTTGTGGTCCTGCTAACTCCAATGTTCCTCAGGACGGACCATGTTTGACTACAGACAAGTAGATAACATAGTGTGTTGGCTAGGTGGGGTGGTGTGGCATCTTGTGGTCCTGTTAACTCCAATGTTCCTCAGGACGGACCATGTTTGACTACAGACAAGTAGATAACATAGTGTGTTGGCTAGGTGGGGCGGTGTGGCATCTTGTAGTCCTGTTAACTCCAATGTTCCTCAGGACGGACCATGTTTGACTACAGACAAGTAGATAACATAGTGTGTTGGCTAGGCGGGGCGGTGTGGCATCTTGTGGTCCTGTTAACTCCAATGTTCCTCAGGACGGACCATGTTTGACTACAGACAAGTAGATAACATAGTGTGTTGGCTAGGTGGGGCGGTGTGGCATCTTGTGGTCCTGTTAACTCCAATGTTCCACAGGACAGACCATGTTTGACTACAGACAAGTAGATAACATAGTGTGTTGGCTAGGTGGGGCGGTGTGGCATCTTGTGGTCCTGTTAACTCCAATGTTCCTCAGGACGGACCATGTTTGACTACAGACAAGTAGATAACATAGTGTGTTGGCTAGGTGGGGCGGTGTGGCATCTTGTGGTCCTGTTAACTCCAATGTTCCTCAGGACGGACCATGTTTGACTACAGACAAGTAGATAACATAGTATGTTGGCTAGGTGGGGCGGTGTGGCATCTTGTGGTCCTGTTAACTCCAATGTTCCTCAGGACGGACCATGTTTGACTACAGACAAGTAGATAACATAGTGTGTTGGCTAGGTGGGGCGGTGTGGCATCTTGTGGTCCTGTTAACTCCAATGTTCCTCAGGACGGACCATGTTTGACTACAGACAAGTAGATAACATAGTGTGTTGGCTAGGTGGGGTGGTGTGGCATCTTGTGGTCCTATTAACTCCAATGTTCCTCTGTCTTGTCGTTACTGGCAGGTTCATCATTCACTTCGCTCCTCTAAGGTAACCGATCACCCCCATTTGTTTTAATAGTTACCCTCCAAGTTCAACTGATTTTACAATTGATAAGAGTTTTTATCCTGAATTAAGATTAGGCTCCCGTCTCCTACTCTCTTAGTTAAAGGTACTGTCTTGCAGGTACGAAAGTATCGTCAACATGACATACGTTGTCTCTGGTTCCAGTCTCTCCTGGGCGTGGAGTTCTGCTGTCCTAGCTCCCTTTATCGTTAGAGGTATGCTATACTTTACAATTAACTGGGTTCGACAAAAGTTGCTTTCTAAAAATAATCGGACCCTTCAATATTTCCTGCTCTGAGGATGGTACGACAAAAAACTTTCAGTTTTAATATAATCGAGAAGTGAATATGGTAGGCTGTTCGATGCTATTTGCGGTGCGAGTTACCGTCTGGTTAAGAATCAATTATTTTGTTAAATATATGTAGCTAAACCGTTAAACTTACCATATAAGGAAGCGTGATATAATTAGAATTAATCCCGCGTGTTAAACGGATATGTCTCTTAATTAAGTAATGACAGATGTTGGCAACTTTTCTCGTTCCAGTACAGTTCCAGTACAGGGTTCCGGTTATATCAACATCAAGTTCTGGTTTATTTTTTGTAACTAAACAATTTTTATGATTTAACAATTTTTGTGATTAAACAATCTCTAATATTGAGCAGTCAATTTGCCGAGCTCTAAGTTTAGAAAATTGTAACAGTTCTGGTTATTAACACAATGTAAATTTGCTGGGTGGCTAGTCGGCGACATAAAGATTCGGAGTTAGAACTGATAACTTAACCTTGTCACCAGTCCAAACATAAGTATTAATAATAAATTAATTAATGATAATTAATAAAAGTATCGATTCCAGAGGATTCAATAGGGTTAAATAAAGAACGAGTTCACGACTGTTCGCTCGAATCGTTTAAATAATATAAAAATTCAGGATTTAATATTGGTGTTGAAGAAAGCTGGGCATATCCACATTTCAAGATTCCTCCGAGCGGTGTTGAAAGGTAACGTCTACAATCTACATTTAAATTTAAAATAAATATAATTATACGTTTATCAAACTTCTTCTTTTGTTTGAGTGTTATATTTATAAATAAATATACTATAATCGTACTTCAATCATGAAATGTTAAAAACTTGGCCCCTCAGATATTTGATGATAGGCTGTTTTGCTGGACCACTCCTTTTGTTGGAACTTATTCTCATTATCCTGATCCTCTCTATACTGGTCGACTTTAAGGTCTTCACCAAGAAAAAGAAGAAACAGCCTAAGAGTTTCATACAGGCGGGGCTCAGGAAGATGCTGGCTCAGACCATGGTACCTTTACCTACCGGTACGAGTTTACAATTACATGGGGACCCCACACTATTATATAAATAGAGATTCGGCGGAATGACTGGCTGAGCGCCGCCCAGTAATTATAAAAGCCAGAGACTTTTAGGGTGATTTAATGTTAATGCGGGGAAATGTAAATTTATTTGTAAAAGAATGAAAGTCATGTCTGATCTCAATTCCCTCCCTCACTCCGCAGTATTTGAGGGATCGGAGCAGGAGCCAGTACAGAGTGCCGGACTGAACCAGGCTTCTTTCTTTACCACTAACACTGCCACACGCTCGCAGACTTCTTATCACGACCTCGAACATAACAAGGAGATTTTCAGGTTTGTTATGATTTGTTTACTAGTTCTTCTGTTTAAAGTTTCTTCCGAAGAAATTATTGATTATTGTAATCTCGTGCTTTTAATAGAATTTCTGAAGCCAAATCTTAAACGCCGTTATGGTTTTTTTTTGCTAAAAACAAGGTTTTAAAATTATTAGTTATTACATATTAAAATAGAATTCAAGAAAAATTATTCTGAAAATGTGTAGTCACCTTTAGAAAACTTTAAAAACAATAAATATGCCAGGCGAAAGCGTAGAATCCGTAATCACTAACATGATTTATGTTTGATTGCCGATAGCATGGTAAAGTCGAAGATTCGATTTCTGTCTGTTTTGCAAGTGCACCTTTTTACGGGAGGATGAAACAAGTTTTATGCATTAAGACAAAAATTAATACCGGCACTAGCTAAATATAGCTAAAAGACATGGATTATATAAATATCTGCACTGCAGATTCGGACAGTAGAAAATTGAGTTTAAGAGTCAACATGACTATTCATACGTGTGAATATTAACTGAAGCTCTTATGTTCGTATATGTATCATGGGTGGGCGACAATTGACCCCCCGACAATTGACCCCCGACAATTGACCCCCCGAAAATATAATTTAATACAATTAACCCTGACCCTGACCCTGACCCTGACCCTGACCCTGACCCTGACCCTGACCCTGACCCTGACCCTGACCCTGACCCTGACCCTGACCCTGACCCTGACCCTGACCCTGACCCTGACCCTGACCCTGACCCTGACCCTGACCCTGACCCTGACCCTGACCCTGACCCTGACCCTGACCCTGACCCTGACCCTGACCCTGACCCTGACCCTGACCCTGACCCTGACCCTGACCCTGACCCTGACCCTGACCCTGACCCTGACCCTGACCCTGACCCTGACCCTGACCCTGACCCTGACCATGACACTGACCCTGACCCTGACCCTGACCCTGACCCTGACCCTGACCCTGACCCTGACCCTGACCCTGACCCTGACCCTGACCCTGACCCTGACCCTGACCCTGACCCTGACCCTGACCCTGACCCTGACCCTGACCCTGACCCTGACCCTGACCCTGACCCTGACCCTGACCCTGACCCTGACCCTGACCCTGACCCTGACCCAATTGTCGGGGGGTCAATTGTCGGGGGTCAATTGTCGGGGGGTCAATTGTCGGGGGGTCAATTGTCGGGGGGTCAATTGTCGCGGTACCATGTATCATGTCGTATGAATATAATTTTGACAAGGGTAATATAATTATAAAATCACCATTGGGGGTAATGATAATCTTCTGAACTACTAAATTAGTATCGGCCTATCCGGCTGATATATGATGAATGGTTCACCTTAAGATCAGAGATATTCTCTTCAGATGGATGGAGGACAGTGCCCGGGTGATAGCCACCAGTACCCACAACATATTCCAATCTCGCTCCGACTCCTGCCTTTCCTGGTATGTTTTCTAGCCTCGTGCATGTTGGTGTGTTTTCGCTCTTAAGTCTTGGTGTTTTCTCTGCGAATCTTGTTTAAAAAAACCAAAATATGGTCGCTGACCGCTGTTTAAATTCATAGCACTGAGCATAAACAAGTAATAGTAATCGGATGATAATTGGAATACTCGCGGATATTAATCTACGCTGGTAAAACATATGGCGCGAGTTAAAGTTGGATATCTGCGACCTGCATAGATTCTATTTAGTCGCTCGGATAACAATTAACATGAACACCCATCTAAATTGCATTGAAATTGACTGGTTGAGGAGGCTGAAACGTTGACAGTTGAGCGACTACTGTAGGAAATGACTTACAAGACATCGATCTATTTAAAGATAAATATAAATTTGATTTATGAAGCACTAAAATTTGATGCAATTTAAAAGTCAGCTAGACAGTGTCTAGTAGACACAGATTCTGTCGCATTTATAAATAAAATCAAAAAACTTATATTGACAAATTACAAAGACTCTTTAGTCTTAGAATCTATATGATTTCATTTTGTTTTGATCGTGTGTAAAAGCACCTCAAACTCAAAGCACCTTTGTACGTGGCTTGCTAGTCTGCCCGCTGTCATATCATTTGGGCGGAAACCCCTATAATATAATAATACGGGCTGTAACCATGGTAACAGCTACAAGGACTCCTCCTCCCAGGTCTGCTGTTAGCACCCCCGTGTCTATACGAGCCGGCCAGTCTGCCCAGAAGCTGCACTGCGGCAGTTTTCAGTCATCCACCCACTCGCTCAGTCACATACGGTCAGAGATAAGGTCTGTGTTTGATAGCATGGTATCGAGGATATCCAGCCCAGGTCGGGTAACAACAGAGCTGGGAGGTACCGGAGCGAGGAGCAGGAACAAGGAGCAGCAAACCAAGATAGTAGCTCTACATCTCTCCTATAGTTTCCTTCTTACACACTTCATGGTTAGCGTCTACACGGTCTCCTGCCTGACGGATCCTCAGCTGGGTCCCTTCGACCAGTCCAGGAGAGACGGATCCCAGCTCCAGGTGTATCTAAAGGGGTGTTATTATGCTGCTGTTTTTATTAACTCTGGCATGACGCCAGTCGTTTATTGGACCTTCCATCAAAAGTACCGGCAGAGGGTCTCGTTTTATTTTTACAGGTTGAAAATTATTCTTGTTAAAATCAGGAACAGACTCTGCAGTTGCTGTTGATTTGTTTGAGGTGATAGTTACAATTAAATTGTTAGCAATATTGACAGTATGATGATCAATCTTAGTGTTTGGAGGGCATAAGTATAACACGTGAAGCCCCATACTCAAGTTAAGTATGAACATGTCACCTAGCTGACATACTTTATATATAATATATGCGTGTAAAATCTCGATATCTTATCTTGAAAAGCTGTGTTTTTATAACCTGTTAAAATCAAAAAGTGGGAATTTTCCTTTTCGGGCTTGTTTTGACAAAAACACCCTCCAGGGTATCCGTATATCGGATTGTTTTAATACTTGACACGAAATTGTTCTCAGAATTTTAGCGCAGTTTTTGATGCCCTAAAAAATGTACTCAGCCAACTGAAAAGTTAATTTTTTGAACCTCAAAAAGATTCCTAGCTCAAAATACCACATATGTCGGTATTTTTTCACTTTCTCATTCTGCGAAGCCAAATATCCAACTTTTAACCATAACTTTAAAAGGAAGTATTTTAAGGTATATGTTTCAGTTTCTTCGTAACTCATATATAAATATGCAAGTTGACGTTGTTTTACATTTATCCAGACGTCATTAGCACATTCCTTATAGAAAATTCTGCCGAGATATATGCTAATATTTGTTTTGCGACTTTCAGGTCCAAAAATCTACTTTCCAGTTGACTGAGCACATTTCACAAAACTGCACCAGAATTTTGCGAACAATTTCATGTCAAGTATCAAAACAATTTGATATTCCCTGGCGGACTTCTCGGTCAAAAGAGCCTGAAAAGGAAAATTATTATTTTTTGACTTTAAAATTACACAGCCTTTTTAGATACAATATCTAGTTTATGGATTGGATTTTTGCATGGAGTTTGGAGTGAATTTATCTGAATAATACAAATAAATAAACAAATGGTTGATTGGGGAGTTGTACCCGAAGACAAAACTCGGCACTAACACCTTGAAAGTTTATTTACAACAATAGATAAGTAATACATAATAAAATAATCTGCATTCACGCACTCATAAAACGTAAACTTTGAAACGAAAGGACGATATATCGCTAGGGGTTCTGTATAAAGCTGACAAGTGATTTTAAAACAATTTGTGCGAAAGAATGTATAGATTTTCTTTGAATAAAGATTGAAAAGCACGACCAATTGTTAACAAATTTCAATGCTGATAAGTTTTAAATTATATCAACTAATGTGGACAGTTCAGTTTGTTATCGTTATCAATCATGGTTTGATATTGCTCATTTTGTGGCACTTATTATTCCTCAGATACAGATCTATCAACATTTTGGTACAAAAAAACTAACTAATTAATTTAGTTTCGTTGTTAAATTTTCACAAATAATTAATTTCATATTATATCATCATAAATTCAAACGATAACAAATACCTTACAATCTATGACTATAGATTACAACCTATGACAATAGATTAAATCGCACTCAGATTAAGCGATGAAATGCAAATATCAATTGTACTCCAATACTAAATACATGCAATGCACTTGTAATCTATATTTATAATCTATGCACTCAGCACTGTCTTCAGTCAATGAGATGATTGTTAAATGTGTGTCTGGGGCTCGTTACCTTAATCGCTCTGCAATGACCAGTGCTGAGTGCTGATAGTGCTAAGTAAATGCTGACCAGCCTAACCTTAAAGCACGTCCTGTCACAACAGCACACAGCGATCAAATACTAAAATAATGAGAATAGCACCTAGAAAGTGCGTCTAAACAACTAAAGTCTCCTCACAGGGTTGGTCCACAACCCCTGAATGGGAGGGTATCAGCACAATGCGATCCAACCAACACATTCTTCACGTTGCACTCCTTGTGGATGCACTCGGACACGTCGAACCCGGCCACGGCGCACATCTCGTTAAAGGCGGCGGTGGCGCGGCAGGGAGAGGGGTAGGCACTGAGGTACTCCTTGCTGCAGGAGTCCTGGATACAAGTGGACATGTACCAGCCCATGTCTACTACCTGTTTGCAGGAACGGAACCCGGGACAGTTGAAGATGTCTTTGCACATGGCAGTGGCTTGGGATCGCGAAGAGGCAGAACACTGGTACGTCTGAAATTAACAGTTTTGTTATTATGTAGTTCTCAACAGTACAGAACTGTATTTAATCTCATTATAAGAGGTAATCTGAACCTTCCTTCCTTTAAATTTCAATACTTTTGTCTCTTCTTAAAAATTGATTGCCGCCGTTATGAGTTATATCATCCACTTCCTCGAATGATTCAAGAACAATAGAAAGAGAAAAGAGAAATACATCACTTTTTTATTATTCCCATATGCCAACTGACCTGCAAGTAACTTGGTTCACACTGTCTGTAATAGTCCAGTCTGCTATCCACCACCAACTTCAATGCCTCATCCTGTCCCAGCATGCTGCTCCTGTACGAGTTCTCTCCGTAGTTTCCTCCGCAGATTCCGCACGTAGATGTGTCCTTGTGTCCCTCCTGAAGGACCACGTGCGCTGTGGTTACTCCGTCCCAGATCACTTTAATTTCAGGGAGGTCCGCGTGAAGATGAGTACCGTTCATTCTGAAGGTTAGCTCGTCTTCAACATACGTCCGTTCTTCGTTCTCCTTCATGACAAAGTTTTCGTGGCCCATGTTTACGTACCATCCTCTCCCAATCTGAAAAAAGATCAAAGTACTAGAAAGTAATTTAGAACGCGGTCCTTTTTGTTAATTTGCAGATAGACATATTTTAAAATTAGTTCGGATACTTAGACATTTATTCCGATAGTAATCGACAAAACTGACTGATGATCTTGGCGAAACCGAAAATTTCCATTCCATAAAAAACCGAAACACTAGAAGTTAAGACTCGGCAAACCTCAAAGAAGACATTTTTATGATACACAGTGATGGCCTCTAGACAAGTGGCGCCGACCTGGCATCCTCCGAACCTGTTGTAAACGTACCAGTCACTGTTGTGGCAATTCCGCGCCATCAGGTACGAACATTGTCCCCTGGAGGAAAAGTAACGTTAGCATCAAAATTACTATAAATAATAATTATCTAGCCAAGTTACCTATATTTATATAAGGGGACCAAAAACCAATTCTTTTCCAGACTACAATAATATTTCGTTCAATGCCTTAAGGTTTGCAAAACCAATTTGAGTTAATTAAATGTGACTTAGTGCACAAAAGGACTAGTAAACCCGGTTTCAATGCCCCCTGGCACAGGGCGAAACGAGATTATTTCATTCGGTAGTTTTATTGTGTCGTAAGTAAACTTTGTCTACTACTTTAGTGCGAACATCATAATCTGAGACGGCAATAAATACTAATAATCCCAAAATGTGTGCGCATGTGCGCGTGTAATTTCCGAACGGCTTAATCAAGAAAATGGTTAGAGTTAGGTGACTGGTTTTTTTCGGTATAGTTTTGAAAAAATTCTGACGAAGCCAATAAACAAATGTTTTTTAAATCGGCCGTTGGTAAGTGGTTAAATTGATGGTTTTGTGCCCCAAATATGATATTAAAGTGTCTCGCTTTTTATCCCCCTCTCACTGTCTCTCCCCATTTACAGCTCCCCAAATTACAGCTTTGTATATAATTAGGTAATTTACATAATCTTATCTATATCTACTATTCAATTATTAGGAATATTCAGTCTGAGAAACGTCATCTGAAAGCCATCAAATTCTTGGAATTTCGTATTATCGTTCCTCATATTTATATTTAGAGTAATAACTAATACCTTAATTAATATTATACCGGATAGGAAGCTTTTGCAACGGAGGAAGCTTTTGCAACGGAGACAAATGCCTGAAAATGGCCCAACATGTTTCAGTTAGAGGCCATCTCATCGATCTTTTTTATTACAGAGATTATTTCTAATGACTCGCAAGAAATCCAAATATCTCTAACGCAATAAAATCTTCATAATCACTGTTTCACTTTTGAATTGATCCATAACAAAATAGTTTAAAAATATATTTTAGAGCATTGGTTCATTCACTTAAAATGCGACAAGCGGACAAGGGCCTTTGCGTTTGGTTTGTGAAATTTATGTGTAGCTAAAAACAGATTATTATATATAATAATAATGGGACGTATTTATAAATACGTCCCATTTTTTCCGAAATTATAAGTCTTCAAGTAAAAAAATTCATAAATAGACCTGTCTCCTCGAAAAAGAAAAAGGAGACAGGTCCAACGTGAAATACTCTCCAGAATATTTATCCAGGTCCTGACACTGACTCTTATTCTCTAGTGAAATACTCTCCAGAACACATATCCAGGTCCTGACACTGACTCTTATTCTCTAGTGAAATACTCTCCAGAATACATATCCAGGTCCTGACACTGACTCTTATTCTCTAGTGAAATACTCTCCAGAATACATATCCAGGTCCTGACACTGACTCTTATTCTCTAGTGAAATACTCTCCAGAATACATATCCAGGTCCTGACACTGACTCTTATTCTCTAGTGAAATACTCTCCAGAATACTTATCCAGGTCCTGACACTGACTCTTATTCTCTAGTGAAATACTCTCCAGAACACATATCCAGGTCCTGACTCTTATTCTCTAGTGAAATACTCTCCAGAATATTTATCCAGGTCCTGACACTGACTCTTATTCTCCAGTCCTGATCTCAATGCTGGGGTGAGAGTGTCAACATTTTAAGGTTTATCAACGTCAAAAATTTGGTGTATAACAGTGCCAGCCCCTTCACTTTTTGAGGAGCGATTGAAATTCCACAGTCAAACGTAAATAGCACGGAAAGCAGGCAAAGTTTGGTTTGGCTGCTGATAATGCTACCCCTCAGGGTGGAAATCTATACGTTATCTTACCGGCACAATCAGCATCCTGATCAACAGATCAGATTTATCGCAAGAGATATTATTGAATACTATTTTTCAGTGACGAATTAGATCTAGGTATACAAATAGAAATTATAATGAAATAACTCAAAATAATATTTCTGTCGAACAACTAATAGTAATAACTCGTTTAAATTTTGAATGGCACCGGTATTAATAATTCATTTGGCATATTTTAAATTTTACATCAGACTTGCCAGTGATGCCAGTGATCCTGAATCCTCACCATAGAAAACAATTGAAAGGATCTGTAGCCTGATTATATTTACTTCAAAAGTATCATGGATCCAAATTCAATGAGTTGTTGACAATCTGTCGAAGTCGAATTATGTAAATCGTGAGTTTCATGACCCTATAAAAAACTTTCCTAATGACCAGTGTTTTCATTTCTAATAGTACAGACAGATCCGTCTGAAAAAATCGATTTGCTGACACACGAACTTTTCAGAGGATTTTTGACGTTTTTGAGTCCCATTAGGTGCCCTTTATGGCTGACCAACTTTTCCAAACTTTTCCACTTGTCTTAAGGCCACTTTTTGCCACTTTACCACTTTTTACCACCTTTCTTGTTTGTCGAATATCTTTAGTTGTGAACATCGTAAAAGGTTGCGGATCAATCGAGTGTGTTCATATTATCAGGAAGAAAAACTTTTGTTCAAACAATTTTTACGTCAGATAATAAGTTAATTGGATAATTATCAATTAACTAATTAGCAAAATTCTAAAAATTTTTTATTGGCTCAAAAAGATCGGAATAGCTTAAAACACGGAGAAAAGTAGTTTTTAGAAAAAATTTGAAAATTTTTCACTTACATTTTTTTTCGTGACTTGGAAAAAATTTCGAAAATTCAAAATATTTTTTCCGCCAAAAGTGATCAAACCGCATGAAACACGGAGAAAAATGCCTTTCAAAAAAACTTAGTGAATTTTTCGTTTCAAGAATACTTAAATAGCCAATATTTGTAGTTGGAGTTCAGTAAATCTCGGCAGATTTTAGTAATCAGGAATTACTAAGTGAAGAGGTCTGAAACTGAAAAACGTTAACCATACGATCGCGCGGCGATATAAGAGTTTCATAAACTAATTTTCGCAGAAACTGCACCAATGGCACAGTCAAGATCGAAACGATAGCCTGCTGTACTGTCATTTTATTGATTTCAATGATGAATCAGTGGGGTTAAGATAATCACATTTGTAATAAATAAACATCTCTGTACCGTCAATTGTGCTAATCTAAACCAGCCTACCTGTATTACCAGACCTCTTCTTTTCCTCGACAATCAAACCAAGTTGTTCATATCGCATTTGGTGGGTGATGTATGTAGTAATGCGCTTAGTCAATAAAGACACCGTTATTTTTATTAAGAGGAGATGATGAAGCAAGTATTCATGACACAAAGAAGAATGGTCGGTGGGGATTGGGACCCACTTAAATCACCTTAACACAGTGCCCTCAGTAATCCATCTTGTCATTCAAATTATTTGTTATATAGTAGTGTTGAAAGTATTGAAACTAATACATATATCGAGCTGTATTCAATCAGACTACGACACAATACGTGTATATTATATGGCTCTTAATGACTAATGAGGTTTATGTAACGCTTTATACCGTGAGAAACCGGTATAGAGACGTTTTAAAGTTTATCACGAAAATGTATACTTGACCTCATGGCTCATTTACAGTTCGAAGAAGGCAAGAACAGATCAGGGAAACTAAGGAACAGCCAGGTCCAGGAAGCAAGTGTAAATACACCTTCCAACATCAACTGTGACTTGTTTTGTATTGTTCTGCATACCGCTTCATTTACTATGCTGGATCGGTGGTTACCTCAAATCACCCCCATATGTTATCGTCAGGGTCGGCTAAACGTAAAATCAGCAAGAGTAACATACTGGCAAGGGTAAGATGTAGATACGAGTGACGGGCAAGGGGTCCGGGTAGTAAAGAACCGGTAATAATTAATTCAGTGAAATGCTCCACGAGAGTCAGGATATTTTGGAAATTGCTAATAGAGACAGATTCTGATCAGGAAGGATTGTTAATGTTATTGAGGGTGTTAATTTGAAATCCGGACGTCGTGAGGTAAAAATACAGGTTCTTCCCGTAGGATATTCGGGGCCATGATGATCAGCTCAGGGTTAATGTGGGACAGATCGAAGAGCATTGAAAAGAGCGAGTTGAAATTTTAGGCTTTCTGGTCTTTTCTTGCCTTCTTTGAGCTGTCAAAGAGCCATGAGGCCAAGTAGACGTTTTCGTGCTAAACTGTAAAACCTCTCCATACTGGGCCTCTCACAGGAGAAACGAGAAGTGTACGGTATAGAACGTTTCATATACCTCATTAAGGGCCATAATATAATATACACGTATTGCATTGTGTCGTATTGTTATTGAATACAATCACGATATGTATTACTACTTACATCACCCACCAAATGCGATATGAACAACTTGGTTTGATTGTCGAGGAAAAGAAGAGGTCTGGTAATACAGGTAGGCTGGTTTAGATTAGCACAATTGACGGTACAGAGATGTTTATTTATTACAAATGTGATTATCTTAACCCCACTGATTCATCATTGAAATCAATAAAATGACAGTACAGCAGGCTATCGTTTCGATCTTGACTGTGCCATTGGTGCAGTTTCTGCGAAAATTAGTTTATGAAACTCTTATATCGCCGCGCGATCGTATGGTTAACGTTTTTCAGTTTCAGACCTCTTCACTTAGTAATTCCTGATTACTAAAATCTGCCGAGATTTACTGAACTCCAACTACAAATATTGGCTATTTAAGTATTCTTGAAACGAAAAATTCACTAAGTTTTTTTGAAAGGCATTTTTCTCCGTGTTTCATGCGGTTTGATCACTTTTGGCGGAAAAAATATTTTGAATTTTCGAAATTATTTCCTAGTCTCGAAAAAAAATGTAAGTGAAAAATTTTCAAATTTTTTCTAAAAACTACTTTTCTCCGTGTTTTAAGCTATTCCGATCTTTTTGAGCTAATAAAAAATTTTTAGAATTTTGCTAATTAGTTAATTGATAATTATCCAATTAACTTATTATCTGACGTAAAAATTGTTTGAACAAAAGTTTTTCTTCCTGATAATATAAACACACTCGATTGATCCGCAACCTTTTACGATGTTCACAACTAAAGATATTCGACAAACAAGAAAGGTGGTAAAAAGTGGTAAAGTGGCAAAAAGTGGCCTTAAGACAAGTGGAAAAGTTTGGAAAAGTTGGTCAGCCATAAAGGGCACCTAATCGGACTCAAAAACGTCAAAAATCCTCTGAAAAGTTCGTGTGTCAGCAAATCGATTTTTTCAGACGGATCTGTCTGTACTATAAGGTGTGCCTTGACTAATGAGTTATGATAGGAATGGGCGACAATATAACCTATAAATATCTGACCTTTACTCTAGGAACTTAGAACTTAAGTTAAAGAAATGTTACAAATTTGGCTTAAGAACTGGCGGAATTCTTTCTATCGTATTTATTTACTTAATTATTTACTTAATTATTTACTTTATTTACTTAATGCTAGAGCAGAATTAGTTTATTATTTTACATAATATCTATAACAGTATATATTTAATCTACTTAAATATTCCAGTATATATACTTAAATTAATATTTATAAGAATAAGAAATGAAAAAACGGGTTACGCCAAACATAATATGTTTTAATAGATAATTCAGCATAATCTCTTCAGTGAACGCAGACAAAGCCAAAGTATTTATAAGAATGTTTTTATTTAATCTACTTATTTATAAGTATTTATTAGTATTTGTAAGTATTTGTAAGTATTTGTAAGTATTTGTAAGTATTTATAAGTATTTATAAGTATTTATAAGTATTTATAAGTATTTATAAGTATTTGTTAGTATTTATAAGCATTTATTAGTATTTATAAGCATTTATAAGCATCTTCAACATACCCGAATGAGTAAGACTGACTGTCGAATGTCCTGACATGACCGTTTCCAGCTACGACACAAGTTGGGAGAACAGGAGGGGTCTCCACTTTAACTTTGAACACGTTACTCTGAGCAATCAAGTCACCACAAGTTTGAGCTTGACAGAAGTAGAGTCCTGTGGGAAATTGTATCAGTAATAGTGCAGCTTGGGAATTATCGGTTCCCTACCCGACCCTCAAGTAAAGGTCATCCTGTTTAGCTGCTAGGAGGCGTGGGATTAAACAGAGCTGAGCAGGGGCATGGCATCGTGCGATGTCTGCAGGGATTTGTATGGTTTGGTATGGACACTAGTCAGCGGTAAAAATAGAGTCCTAGTGATGCTAATATGTGAGATTATCAAGGTTTGCCCTGCAGATCTAACACCTCACTTGCCGCTCTCTCAACTTGTTGCTTTATCTCTATTACATGATATATGTCGATATTCCCGCATCAAACAGACGCGAATTCACTTTAAACAGGCGGTACATCTTTGACCCGTTTCCTACATATATCAGTAAGTACAGTAACAAGCTCCGGCCGTGTGTGACGGGCTGTTAGACGCATAGTCTAGTAGTCTTCACACTGTAACACTACACAGTACATCATAGTCTAGTAGTCTTCACACTGTAACACTACACAGTACATGAGTACATCATTATATCTCAGGCTATGACAGTCGACCCTGAACACCCCTTATCAGTGTTACAGATAATCTACTAAGATTTTTTCAAGATCCTGATCACTAAGTACAGTAACTAACTGGCCAGGTTGTTGGACGCATTATAGTCTAGTAGTCTTCACTGTTCACACTGTAACACTACACAGTACATTATAGTCTAGTAGTCTTCACACTGTTACACTACACACTTACACAGTACGCCTCAGGCTATGACAGTCGACCCTGAACACCCTTATCAGTGTTACAGATAATCTACCAAGGTCACTAAGATTGTTTCGATTTCTTATGTACCTTATGGCATCTTATATCGAAACATTCGCCTAATAGTTATAGGACGTTATAGGACGAATTTGTGAATAACACCGATTTTAAATCGACACAATATTTTGGAACAAATCAGTGCTCTATTTGCGGGGGTGACGTGGCTTTTGCAAGTCTGCAAAAATTTGTGAAATACAGAAACGAGGAAAAGCATAGATCACCAGTCACGAATTAGCCCGAATATTACCTCAGCGATTTGCAGGCAAAAAGTTGACGGGTTCAAGACATTAATATGCAGTGCTCCAAAAAATAGAGGGCACTTTGTAAAGCATCGCATCTCTGTTGATTATACTAATGGCCAATGAATCCGAAAAGATTTATAAAATGATAAGTTTTGAGTTCCTCACCGTTATCCAGAACTTGAGCAGAAGGTATGTAGAGAGTATCATGGTCAGATACTAATACTGGGTCTTCATCCCTAAGTTCGTGGTACCAGTTCACTGTTGGCATCGGGGACCCTTTAGCGTTACACTGCAGCTCTATTGGCATTCCCATCGCCACTGTCACGTTAGTTTGCCTGGGGAAAGGAACTATGTTAGAGTCCACATCAAGAAACAGTGCAGATTGGCAGATAATCTTAGAGGAAATTTTGGATTTTTGAGGAAATTTTGTGCCCAAGAGGACATATTTAGAATACCTGACCTTTTCATAGGGCATAAGAACATTTTAAGTGTACGTGGGGTTTAGAATTAATCCGAGTTACCGGCTAAGGTGCGGTTATTAACGGATAATTAAGGGTCGGTTCAAGTTCTCTCATATTTGTCGAATGAGAAAACGAATTTCGGGTGGGATATAAATAACCGTAAATTAAAAAGTGGGGTTGATGCCGGTGTTCAATTGAATGGCGACAATGAAACACGGAATAAATTCATTACCTGGAAGCTACCTAGTATGTTACCGTGGTTTTAACACGGTGTTATAATGAAAGTTTATTACTTGAGGTAAGCTGGCGCTGATTCAATTCATTCTTGTGTTAATTAAGTAATTCTTCCCATGCGGTCGTTAGTCTAATGAAGTAATGAAGCTGTTCTGATCGAGCATTAAGGAACAATGCTGTATTGTGTCTGTAACGTAACCATCAATAATCCAGATTACTTCTTGACCAATTTAATTGTAAAATCGCAGTAAAGTCTGTCAAACGAATACAGATACTCGTGCTTCTTCATTGTATTAGATAAATGAAATATGTTGAGTTTACGAGCCATAGATAAACAGGGAGCCCTTATATACGCTTGGTAAATCTTAAAAGTCACATTGACAGAGTAAATTTCATGTCGTATTTCGACAGGGAAAAATCAGACCTTTCCCAAGAATAAAATTCTTAACAAATATCGATATGAATCGTATAAAATCTCGCTTTTCTAAACAACGTGAATTTCATTATTTCTGCATTGAATGACCTGCATTTTAAAAGCCTATTGATAACAATAACATTAAGTTATAGCATCATTAAATATAATCCCAGTTATATTTATATAACTGTCTAGTCTTTATAAAGACTAGACCGGATAAAGAGATTTAAGTTTAAGAAATCCTGTGTCTAAAAGAGGAAGTAACAGGTAGAATCTACAGGTAGAATCAACCTGGTAGAGCCAGTGTTACTGGTCTCTTGTTATATCAGTTAGTGGTGTAAGAAAACCACTATCAAATTGTCACTTGCTGCTTTGAAGTAGGTGGGCAGCTGGGTGTTAACTCGTTACTAACAGTTCCCTGTAACTAAGTTGTTTCCTGTAGTCCCAGGAACCACAAAAAACGTCTAGTTCTTTCTAAAAGGCACAACTAGCAATTGTAATTTTTCTGCAGCCGCTTTCTATCGGTCTGAGGCAAATCATAATAAATGCAGGGTATCTTCAAAGGGTGGAAATTACCGAATTTGTCAACTTAAATTTGTCACTTTATCACTTTGGTTTATGGCATGCGCATTAGGGTCCCTCCCAACCGTCAAATTTTTCTGAAAATTCGATCAGGTATTGAGATATTTTAGTATTTAGACTCTAAATTTTAGAGAAAATCACAAAAATACTGCCTTCATCGTTCAATTCTTGATGAAAAATGTGTTAATTAGGTAAAGTTGTCGGCATATTCTGAATTCGGCACTCGTACATTTCTATAGAAATTTCCCTTCCGACATTTATATTGTTGTGATTTTCCAAGTAAATATTTCAATACTCTATTGTCGGAGCAATTTGGAACTCCTACACGCCTACCCAAACAAGATAATGTGACAATTGCGGTTATTTTGCATCTCGTATAAAGCTCCTGTCTCCTGATATAGAGGTCCTAGCTGATATAGAGGTCCTGTATGTATGTCCTGTATGTATGTCCTGTATGTATGTCCTGTATGTATGTCCTGTATGTATGTCCTGTATGTATGCATTCCCTTGAGAGTTATGTTAGTTACTCAAGTTATTTAAGTAATGCAACAGTAGGAAGGTACTGGGTGTAGACAGATTTTATCAGCAGATTTTTCCCAAAAATTTGGACCTGCAAAATTTGTTGATGATTTCTATAGACAACTCCGATCAACACATTTTTACAGAGAAATGTTTTTTACAGATTTATTTAAAGATGCAGGCCATACAATATTTTTCTTCCAGGTTAATGTGCTCCTAGAAATAATATTGAAGAAGGTTTCATCCTCTGTGCGAAGGTATAATACCTAATTTTCTACCATCTAAATTTTATGGACTAAGGATACGGGCATTTTTCTGCAGAAAATCCCAAAAGAATGTACATTTTCGCACTTTCGACTTTTCAGGCCTTTTAAAAAGTAGAATCTAGGATATTTATAACTTAGTCTATTCTTAGGCATTTATATTTGACACTGTCTGTATTTATTCAGATTTCAACACAAAAGCTGACGAATATTGATATTATAATAGATATATGGAAAGTTATGAAATATATTACTTTGTCGTTAGATGGAAATATTTTTACGAAGACTTATAATCCTATAAGTATAACTATCCGAATAATAGTTGCAGATTCTGGTGGGGCGGCATATTATTTTGACACGTGACAGTGATTCTGGGGTTTGATTGGTCAATAGTGGATGCTGATTGGTTTATAACTGGCACGTGCCAAAAAACATAGTCTCACCGCTAGAATTCAGTATTCACATAATATATAAACTTATTTTTAAACTCATCATTGAAATGTTTACTAGCCAATACCTACCTAACTAACTAATTCCGGATAGGCGTGATATTACCACGGTCCACGCCTATCCCCGCCCTATCCTTAATTTTAAAAGTTTGTAGCTGAAGACCTTAGCTACAAACCCTCTAACTAGGATCACTGTCCAATTCTATAAATAGCATCAAACTTTGCAGAGGAGGTTATGAGTGAAAGTAGTCGGCACTTGACCGTTATTCATGATCAATGATCATGCTAGTGCGCGATTTCAGATAAACCTAGCCATCAATTTTATAATAATTTATAACATAATATGTGTTTATGTATAACTTAAAGAAGTTTATGCTAGAAATGTTGAGCTATAACCGCATCCCGCTGATATAATTTTTCTTTTATGAATAATTAGATTATTAATCAGATATCGTGAAAATTCTATTAGATTTGTGCCCCGATGCAGAAATACCATTTATTTTAAAATTCAGCAAATGTGAATTTATTTAAATAAAATTAACTTTCTCCTACAAAACGGATCCACTAACTTTGAACCTATTTTACTCATTAGTAGCTCCTCCCTATAGGACACCCGAAAACCCCCAACACATCCATCTACCTGATTTGGAGTAATATTTACGATATTTACAATAGTAATATTTATGAAAGTTTAAAAATCAGCAGTATTGCTTACCAGTAGTCGACGACAGGGGGGGAAGGAATACTGCAGAAACCTCTGTGTTTTATCGTCACGTTCTTGTCCATTTCACAGTTCTGTGCCTGTAATTATTATTGGTAATTAATGTCAACAAATTCCACTTAATCGTTAGTAAATTTCCGTCTGTGATACTGTTGTATAATGTAACAAATCACTTAATCGTTAATAATTAAAGCGGAGTTTCTCTTGTGTCTAATTAAATGTCTGATGTTTCATATCAGGGATTAATGGTAATAATGATATAGATAATTTCTATTTATATCATCGTCTGGTTTATAGTATTTCCTGACTCCTGATGTCTGGTTAAGTCGTCTGTTTCGTCAACAAACTTATTGATCTTTATGCGGAACGGCAAGTGTAGAAGGTACACGCAGTCGTAAAATTGAATACTTAATCTGGCAATGATGACTGATGATGTTCAATGCCCCTGGAATTAGATCTCTTGTGGAGATCCTGCACAGCAATCCTATCCGCTCCAACTGTATGAACCTTAAAAGTGACAATTGGTGGGCCGGTCTTTGCTCGGTAACGCTCCGCCCTTGAATTATGCCGGCATTACCATTGTAGTCTGAATACCGGCACTTCTAGCTCTGCTACTTAATCTACTCTTCACTACTTGCACTCTGCTACTTCATCTACTCTTCACTACTTGCACTCTGCTACATCATCTACTCTTCACTACTTGCACTCTGCTACCTCATCTACTCTTCACTACTTGCACTCTGCTACTTCATCTACTATTCACTACTTGCACTCTGCTACTTCATCTATTCTTCACTACTTGCACTCTGCTACTTCATCTACTCTTCACTACTTGCACTCTGCTACTTCATCTACTATTCACTACTTGCACTCTGCTACTTCATCTACTATTCACTACTTGCACTCTGCTACTTCATCTATTCTTCACTACTTGCACTCTGCTACTTCATCTACTCTTCACTACTTGCACTCTGCTACTTAATCTACTCTTCACTACTTGCACTCTGCTACTTCATCTACTATTCACTACTTGCACTCTGCTACTTCATCTACTGTTCACTACTTGCACTCTGCTACTTCATCTATTCTTCACTACTTGCACTCTGCTACTTCATCTACTCTTCACTACTTGCACTCTGCTACTTAATCTACTCTTCACTACTTGCACTCTGCTACTTCATCTACTATTCACTACTTGCACTCTGCTACTTCATCTACTCTTCACTACTTGCACTCTGCTACTTAATCTACTCTTCACTACTTGCACTCTGCTACTTCATCTACTATTCACTACTTGCACTCTGCTACTTAATCTACTCTTCACTACTTGCACTCTGCTACTTCATCTACTATTCACTACTTGCACTCTGCTACTTCATCTATTCTTCACTACTTGCACTCTGCTACTTCATCTACTCTTCACTACTTGCACTCTGCTACTTAATCTACTCTTCACTACTTGCACTCTGCTACTTCATCTACTCTTCACTACTTGCACTCTGCTACTTCATCTACTCTTCACTACTTGCACGGGTTCAGCCTTGTCCGGCATTGTCTGCATTCTACAGTGCTAGGGGTTCTCCCGAAGCTAAAACTGTTGCGACTTTGCAGCAGATATTAAGTAAAGTATCTTAGGTACCCTGTCAGCCTCATTTTAATGCCACTTCTGGAGGTGCAATGATTTCATAATATGAAGCTCTCAGATTTTAAGCCGGTCCATAGTGGCAACTCTCCAGGAGATCATGTTCTACTATAAAATGTACTTTTGGAATTTGTTCACTCCGTGTGGCTGGTGATCTTATTATGACCACCTTGCATGTGTGCTCATTCTGAGTTGAAACCTGCTTTGATATCGTTCATATCAAGTTATCATCCAAAACAACCATGTCATATGTGTTGAAGGAACAAGTTCATGTGCACAAAGAAAATTAGCCTATGTTGAGGTTAGACGGATGCCCATAAACCAGCTTAACACAGAGATTTAATTGATCTAGATATTGTGAAGTGACCATGATGACGCTTCTCTGGTCAGACATTTTTCTGAATATTCGATAGCATATGCTCGCTAATAATGACTGTTACTGTTAAAGAAAACCATACTTGAAATCGATAGTTTCTAGAAGAGTCGTTTTAAAAAGTCGTTTTAAAGGTTTTTTCGAGAATATTTTAATTTAATTAAATTCTGTCCGAGTTGAGAAATATGAGCTGTTTGAAAATGTCGCTGTTCGGTCGGGCTGTAACCACCGATTAGTCTGAATATTGCGGCAACTTTATTTATAAAATATAAACTATGTTGGATAATTCAATCGTAGTGATTAGTGCCATTCAACAAATCATAGACTGATACATTTTTGGCATATTATTGTTAATAATGATATGCCAAAAGTGAGCTATTTCCTGTAGATCCTTGGTATATAAGCAACATTTGACAGAGCATAGTGTGGAGTGAGCTATGTGCTCATCCTTGGAGAACCCGGTGGATGGCCTTGCTGTACGGCAGTGTTAAACAAGGAACTGAAACCGAGGGGTTCCGTTCAGGCCCTTCACACTTTGTTTCTGTCTAGTTCTAATGTACCGTCACAATAGTGACTTTAATATAACTAAAGACAAAATTATTGATTTCCTGCTTTGTATTTTGGCAATTTCTCTGTTAATTTTCTGTAGCAGCTACACTATGTACTAGTTATATTGGAATATGATATGGACTTTGCAGAAAAACATGGTAGAATAAATCAAATCTGAGACTAATACCATTAATAAGGGCGGGATTGGAAATGTTATTACAAACCGATAATTCTTTGAAGTTTTATTGAGTAGGGGACACTGAATGATCATTGCACCAAGCTTCAAACGTCGTAATTTTTAAACGAAAGTCTGTGGTCAAATTATTGGGGTGTGATGTAAGCGATTATAATGCTCCCTAAAAGTGTTCTTAAGAACTCACGTCAAGGAAACACTTGCTGAAGTAGGTGTTGCAGTCTGTTCCACAAACAGCATCAAAATCGTTACAGGCTCGAACCGGGCACCTGGCGGGTTCAGGTTCAGTATTACCTTTATGTTACAGCATTTAAAATAGTATTAGGAAAACCTAAGAGATCGGAAAAAAAATCGATGATACTAGATAAGGTGGTTCAGAAATAAAATCAATGGAATTTTATCGGGTCGAATAAACTTCATTCTTTAAGTGTACAATATCATAATATCCAAAACAAGAATGATGTAATTCACATATCCCACCTTCACGTATCACACATTGATAATACCGTTATAGTTAGTGTTAATTACCTGCACACAGGCTCATTGGTGAAGGTATTAATCTCGCAGACTTTGTGACTTGGACAGTGTATTGTTGAACATCCTCGGTTAATCCTGATGTAGGCTCTTGTAATCTATGGAAACAATTGAGTTATAAGTTAGAAACTGAGTTAGAACTAAGCTAGAACTAAGCTAGAACTAAGTTAGAACTAAGTTAGAACTAAGCTAGAACTAAGCTAGAACTAAACTAGAACTAAGCTAGAAATAAGCTAGAAATAAGCTTAAAATAAGCTCTCACCTGGACACCAATCTTATTCTTTGCCCTGCAGTAGTACCACCCTTCGTCGTCGACTGTAGTTTCTCTGATCACTTTAAAGGCGTTTCCAGTCTGGAATTTGTCTGAGTTATTTTAGGAATTCTGGTAGAGTAGGGTTTCCGGCAATAAACCATATTTGAAACAAACAAAAGTCAGGTACAAAGTTTTAAAAGTCTAATCAGCCATAAGCAAATCGGTTAACAGCTTGAGACCGATAATTTAAAGTTAAGCTGGAACTAAGCTTACCTCGAGAGGAGTTCCGATTTTACTTAAATCCACGTCAATATGTTTGGTGGAACCCTTGATTCTCTTCAGGATTTTAACCTTAGGTTTAGGGAACCCAATTGCTTCACAGAATAGCTGAAATGTTGTTAAAAGTAAAATTTAAAATTATGTCATGGTAGTTAATTTTGAAAGGAAGTGGTTTCACTACGTCAGATATAATCATCTCTGAGCGGGGAATGAAAATAAGAAAATAAAACTGTGTTAGTGACGTTGTATGTACCTGGGCCCGTTGTCCTTGAGACACGGTAATGTTGGAGAGTCCGATAGTAATGATAGGGGAGGTGGGGTCAGGGCCGGCCCGTACATAATCACCAAGGAAGAGGAATACCGCGATCACTAAAATCGTCATCATAGCTGCAAGTTTTATGGGTATTATTGATACGACTATTGGTGGACTTATTCGATGGCCTGATAGAGGATTCTATGAAGCCCAACAAGGTAACAAAGTAAGTAACGATAAACTCACGACAAACAGAAGAAATGCACCGTCCATAGATTTCAACAAAAATAATAATTTCTGGTCATCAAATTTTATAGCCGCATCGATATTAAGTTTGTTTTTTAAATTCGATTTAGAAGACAAACTTATTACCTAAATCATAGTTTAGAGTTTGTAGATCATTAGATCAGTTGCAAAGTAACCGAGCTGAAGCAGTTGTAGTCTATGTAACCTAGTTGAGATAGGTTACTGTACCCGATATTTATTATCAACTAATCAAAGTTCACCAAAATTTAAAGTATTTAGTACCCGATATTTATTGTCAACTAATCAAAGTTCACCAAAATTTGAAGTATTTAGTAATAAACAGTTGAAAGATTTGATAAGTTGACTACAAAAATCAGGTACAATAAACTTTTTTGATTTTTATCAATGAACTTTCAAATTGTTACACAAAGGAGGTATTATATAATTTTATTACAAAGAAAATTTGCCGAAAGACCTGTACATGCCTTGACAAGTGACAGAGTGTTTACGAAATTTGGGATACCGAAACACCAGATGACTAAAACTGGTCATAGTACTTACATAAAATTAGTAAACATTAAATTACTGTAAATAAAACTGATATAAAATAAGACTGGAGGTTATTGTTTTAGTTCTGTCAAGTCTTCCACATTGTGCAAATAAATTTTTCGTTTATACTGTCGCATACAATAGGTTCGAAAAAAAAATGTTTTATGTCTGCCGCTTCTTTACTTTAAATTTAGCTATTAACAGCAAAACTAAGTGTTAACTATACTTGGAGTGTTACTATCACTTTTGAAGTGTCCATCCGGAATTCCTCCATAAAGTTACATAAACTGACTGTGAAGGGAAATAAAGCTTAAAAAAAATCACTATTCGATATCAGAAACGCATAAAATATTTATAGATAATATTAATAACCAGGTACATCACAGACATAAGTAATATCACCTGATATGAAGTATTTTAAAACCAGGATACAGCAAGGAACGTGACTTAGTACGTGACTAAAAGGGCGGAACAAAATAATCGCGTCAACTCAAAGTCTAGCGCTTTAAGAACTTTATTTACCTTTCGGTAACGATAGAGAAAGCCTTAGAATTAAAATGACAGTCCGTGGCCAACGTCAATTTCAACGTCAATATGAATATGTCAGGCAAGAAACTTCTTGTCCACAAAAACATCAGACCCTATTTACCATCGGCTACAAATACCAATATTGAGTACCTGGGTACCCCGTACAAATGAGCCCCAAACAAATATCACAGACACGACTATTCTAAATTTGCACAAAAAGCACTACTGAGCACTACAGAGCAAAACAAGTCACTATCGTGACGGTACATTAGAACTAGACAGAAACAAAATATAATGCTGGGGGAGTCTGGTGCTATCAATATCACTGTTTTCTCTTTGCTATCATTATACTAATAGAATGACCGTTGAAACGTTCAGCCAGGGTGATTATCACTGGATGATCCTCTAGCTTTTCCAACTGTAACTTATTTGACAACATTCTAGGGTCAAAAGTTACAAAAATTGCATAATAGAATTATTAATTGCGGTCGTTCAGAGAGTGCACCAATTTAGCGATTCCGTAAGGCCGAATGTCATCAAGAAAGGCGAAATGCTATCAATAAGGACGGGGTCAAAAATGTTAAAGATTGGTGCTCCTGCTTGGAAAACCGAGCATCAACTAATTATTAGTTTAAAGATTATTCATATAAACGACACGCTTGGTGTAACACTATTAAACGTATTATTCCCACACAAAAAAAAACTGTGCCATAGAATAACGAAGACCGAAAAGCTCTAGTACTGGTGACAGTTGAAACGAGCAGTGCAGAAACAAGAATCTGCAATGACTTGCGCGAATCTGCAAGGATGCAGAATACGACTTTGTTATTAGGTCACTGTATTCCAGTCACTGATATATCTATAACGGCTGGCATATCGTTGTCTCACTTCTCCAATCAGACGCTTACCTAATATAACTTTGATGTGAAGGTGGTAATCGGTTTGGAAGCAAGGGAGCACGTTTTCCTGACAATACCCAAACACCCCCTGAATTCAGACTACATAATCTCCACGCTTTTTTAACTTCCTGGTTAAAATGGCATGCAATGGTTACGTCATTAGCTTATTTTATGGAAATTAATAACACTAACAGATAAAATCGAATAAACTCCGGCTTTTTGTCCAGTTTTTATAGAAGGTTGATTTTAAAAGAGGCTGTCTGCTGAGGACCTATTTACAAAAGATTGATGATGATTTACGGGAACATAAAGCGTATGTTTTGTAGTACCAGTCGGTAACAACCCAACGAACTTCAAGTTAAATTGCGCCAAAGTCCAAACCAAATTAGAGACTAGCTAGCGGACTCTTCAGAACAACATTACTGGTCATTAGTAAAGAGTATCATTAGCCAATAATAGGCAATGAGCAACAAGATACTACCCTGTACACTAACTCGGACACAATTAAATATTTTAAATCACTGACAATCAACAATTAAATGTAGCATGACAACATTTTCTACACAGGCCCATTCCTGCAAACAATTCGCTGCAGCAACAATGCAAAACTTTAAAGTCACGAATTAAATACTTCCCAACTTAAACTTGACGTGTTACGGCGACCCCGCGGAACAATGAAACTGCAAACGTGCCAATCTTTGTGCAGGTCTTCCAGGACAGGATCAAGTTAAGCGAATTATTTGATTATGATTTTGATTTTTGGAGCTAGAAGTTCCTTGATGATCAAATGTTGCAGCACTGATCTTCGTCTGAATATTGCAGTTATGTGTTAGATTTCACACTGGAGAGTGTATTGATAATCTTGTCAGAGTCAGTACACAGATTATATGCTGATATAGGTACACGGAGTACATGATTTGAATTCGATTAACCTGGCTAACGTTATAGAAGGAGGAGACAGGTCACTGATCAAATAAGCATCGAGTTGGGTCTGCATAAGACTTAGGGGATCCTACGTAAACTTGGAAAGATATATATAATAACGTTGGCCATTAAACTGTGATTTTATCAATCTTATTTAGTTCGTCAATTTGCGGTAGCAGATCGTTGGTCAGAGTTGCCCAGCTTGAATACTACTTATTAAATTTTAAAGATAAAACGAGAAATCACGGACAGGCAAGTTGCAAGCCAAGTGGGCTACGGTGGGTGGCTCTCTAATTGAGTTCACTTCGAAAGTTCACAAACCACAAAGTGTAAATTTCAATTTAATGACCGGTCATATATCCCAAATATTATGAAATCGGTCACTAAATCTTAATCTTACTCTTAGTCAAGTGGAAATTGAGAAAATAAAATTATGTTCTTGAAGAATTGAAGAATTTTCCAGAGCTCTCCACATAGTTTGGACACGCCCCCTGTTTCAACCCACCTTGTCATAAACAGGGTGACTACTGACTGAGCTCACCTTTTTAAAAATCTGGCAGCCCCATTGGTTAAGATGATAGATATGAACTTTTATAGGGCTTGATTTTCTCTCGGGAGCTTCAGCAATGAAATTATTGGTCCAGTCAATTATTAGCGCTGTGTGTTCCGAAAGACCCCGCTACAATATAGGAATCATATAGAAATCAGGAATGTTTCCATATTTTGAAGCTCTAGTTTTGTTAAATTGACATGATGCGTCCAAGGAATGCTAGTCAGTGTCATGCAGATTCCGGAGAAAACCCTCAAAGTGTGATAGAATTAAATCATATCTGCAAGCGGTGCAGTATCAGTGTTATCCAGAGAAGTAAATTGAAATGATTTAATCACAAACCCTTAAACTCAAATCATGGGAGAAACCAAAACCATAGTAAGGGACAACAACCACAAAAAGAAGGAGGACGAGCTAAACTTGAGGAAGGGGTTTAATGAGGATATGATGTCTGGTGATCTGGTCAGGTTCTCCACTCCTTTTTCCGCCCTAATCGACCACATGACGGCTGACGCACCCTGGCATATTCAGAATCCCTACCAATCTCTCCTGTGGGGGACAAGTCGTGCTGCATTTTGCAAGACGGAGTCTTGGCTGCACAGCATGGCTTCATTGCCGCACTTATATATTGGGATTCCACCGGGGTATTTCATAGATTAGAAATATCATCGAATATTCCTGGATTCCGATTATCACGGAGGGTACCTATGATATGAAGTAGCCAACTTCTTGAGTCTTTTATGAGTTAAGAAGCAGTCTAGATGGCTGACTATCGATATCCGCCGCTTATCACAGTAGACTCAAATCGGATTGGGTAGTGGGCGTACTGTTGTACGTGGATATTATCTTGAAGCCGCTAGATATAGCACAATACACTACAATGTGAAGCCGTGCAGTCATAAATTATCTCTCATGGAGCCGGCCTGGCTGGATTCTCCCAATCAAGTTTCCAAGTTTTGTAGGTCTTGCAGAGAAATTGAAAAACCCTCTGTCACAGTTTAACATCTACTCGATTTTGTGCATCCATACTGTGCAGAGTGCCGGGTTGAATGGCACAATGACATGTGTAACTGCAATGCGTGACAGCTCTATGACTCTTTGTCATAATGTCATAGTGTAGTACTGCATGAACATAGTGTAGTACTAGTACTGCATGAATACTACAATTTGTAACGCTCGGTTTTATTAAGACTTCTGTATATCCCAAAATAATTATAAGACTCATCTTATTTGGTAGACAAGTCTGGTAAAAGAGTCTACCTCCTCGTCTCTTCATCCTCCCGCTCTTCTTACACCTCCTCCCCCACCCTCCTGTTAAAAGTAGTGCAGATATTGGTTAATTGTCAAGGTTTAACACCTAATTCATAGCATGTTATCCCACTCCCATCTTCTCTCCTGATTCGTAGCATGTTATCCCACTCCCATCTTCTCTCCTCTGCCTCG